AATTGATGCAATCCTTGGATTTAGATTTGTTTTACTGCATCTGCATAGGTTGCTATAACTGTTTAGTTAACATGTCTGAGGTTAAAGGGGCAGCATATGAAATACAAAAACATGCCAAGAATGCCAAAATTTGCCCTTGTTATAACCATACTTTAAATTTGGTGTTGTCTCAATCCCTAAAAGTTCAGTCGGTAAATAACGCCATTGGTACTATTCAGGAGAGTGTAACATTTTTTAAACTTTCGGCTAAACGAAATTTTGTGCTATTGAAGCATTTAAAAAGTAAGCTAAAAAGCGCTTGTCAAACTCGTTGGATAGAAAGGCATGATTCCATTTTGCAATTTGTCACCGATTTGCCATTTCTGGTTCAAGCACTTTCGGAAATTGCGCAATGGGACGATAATACCACCTCTTCTAAAGCTAATATTGTAAAGGCAATATGCGATTGTGAGTTCATATTAACAATATAATTGTTTTCGTACTTCCGGGACTAAAGTAACAACTTCACTCCATTATGACAAGTACTGAAGTGTCACTTTTTGTCCCGCCGGGATTAAATTTGGACGAAAATCCCGGAAGGATGAAATTACTAACAAGGCAATTTCAGTAGGTTGTTCCACATTTTGTATGCGGCACTACTTCTTAAACGCATCGTACTGCTGCTCATATAGTTTTTTGGATTTCGGTGGTATCAATTCATTACCTATGGTTTGGCTGCTTTTTATCAATATCAAATACACCTTTGTCACCCACCACCAAAATTATGACACTAGCAATGACAGTTTCCAAATTATTTTTGTTACCATAGCATAGGGATTGTCGTACCAACGCAACGTTCCTATGGTAACTGGTTAATCAGTGATTTTTTGAAAGAACGCGTTCTCTAACTCCATACATATTAAGTGTTTCAGTTTCGGAAGTACGAAAAATATCGTATATACCTTGCGACTGAAGTAGTAGTCTTAATCCCTCAGGTAAATTATGGCCCTCCCTTCGGTCGGGCCATAAACTTTACCTTCGGGATTAAAAGTACTACTTCAGTCCCGCGGTATATAATATACTATTAAGTGATGTATTACGCGTAACTTTGCCATTAAGTAAATATCTTCAAAGCACTACAATTGATTTAAGTTCCGCCAAAAAACACATCTCGGAGCTACTACAAGTTTTAGAGAAAAAGAGAACTAATGTAGATGATGTGTTTGTGTCAAATATTTTGAAACTGGCTAAAAAAGTTTTCACACACCTTGAAATAGATCTTAAGATTCCTCACCTTTGCAACACGCAAACCACAAGGAAAACGTATTCTGATTCTAAGAATTTGTCACCTAGTGACTATTGGAAGAGAGTTATCTATATTTCAATTGTTGAAAATTTAATAGTGGACCTAAAATTTCGTTTTGGAAAAAAATTTGTCAAATTTAAGCTTAATTATATTAATACCCAATGCTCTTCAGGTCGTCACCGATGATAATGTTTTAAATGATTATTTAAGTTTAATAATAAAAGAGTACGGAGATCTGCTAAATAGCCCGTCGTTAACACAACTTCTGGGTGAAGTGCAGCTTTATAAACAGAGTTTTTGCACCATGGATATTGTCTACGATAATGCTCTTCAAAATTGTGACGAAATTTATTATCCTACCATTACGAAACTTTTACTAATTGTGTGCCCTTTTACTATTTCTGTTGCAACCGCTAAAAGGAGTTTCTCAATCCTTAGATTGTTAAAAAGTTATTTGAGATCCACAATGATTGACGGGTTAGCACTGTTATACATTCACAGAGAAATTGAATTAAATCTAGAAAATGTTATAAACCGATTTGCAATTACAAAAAGAAAACTCGATTTTGTTATTTAGAATTTTGTTGGTTTGTTCTTTTTTTATTTAATTAAGAATTAGGCAGTTATTTTTTTAATATGTTATACTCGTATATTATGTCAAAAATGTTCTATTTTTATATGTAGGTATAATAAATGTTTTTTTATCTTTTATATATTGACCTTAAAAATTGTATGCGCCCCTCCCTAGACCAAATCCTAAATCCGCCACTGGCAATGCAAGTTATATAGGGGAGTCGATGGTGTCCGTCTGTCCGTGTATCTGTCAATGGACACGATGACTGGAAACGTTTGGACCGATTCGGTTCAAGCTTTGCACATTTGACCTATATACCAAACGCAGCCTATTAAAAATGGGTGAAATCCGATGACCCCGTAGGGTCAAACCGAGGTGATCTGCCGCTTTTTTAGATCCGCTTTAGAGGTTTATTTAGATTTTGACTTATTTATTTCGAATTAAAATCATTGATTTTGATTTGAAAATGTTCAAATGGATTTATTTGGAATTAAAAAAATTGCCACGAGTTAAAGCGATTTAGGTATATCGGTATTTACAAATTTTCATGTAAATTTACAACCCCTCGCTCATGAGGATCCAGAAAAGAATGCTGTTGTCCGCAAGTAAAAAAGAATCATGTAAGATAAAAGAAATGAAGAGCAACTCGCGAAACTCTCTTTTCAGAGTATACACTGCAAATATTCACCGACCACACGTATTAGTGCGACCGACAAGAATAATGAGGTTAATTTTGGTTTGCTGCGTCTGTCAGCAGAATATAGATCGTGGTCGCTTTCGAACATGTAGGTAATTAACTGACTCTAAAGAGCTTTTGATCGAAATTGCATAGTCCAGTGTTTGCACATTCGTCGTTTGGATATATTAGTTGGATTAAATTCATATGGCTAATATAAGGGCTAATCTTAAACTATAACATGCCAAAAACGCAGAATTTCGAAGTCTCTATATAATAATTGCGTGACGGTTTTGAAGTGCAACTGTGAATTTACAGATCCGTTTTTGTGGAAAAAGGTCTTCGTCTGCGACGGCGGGTTCCTACAACTTATATTCTTCTAAACTCCTCTTCCTGTTAGAAGTCTTGGAGCTGCAGGTTAACACAATGGACTGTCAAATGTTCACCTTTGGGGATGCTTGTCATTTGATATTGAACTAATACTTTTTACTTCCGTTTCATTTTGGTTTACATTTTGTATCCCTGTCGTAGATTTTAAGCGAACAACAGGATGAAATACGGACAAACGTTTTGCAACTTCAGTTCACATGACTTTATCTTTACAGGAACAGCTCGCTTTGTTGCGCAACAATAGACTCTATAAAATGCTTTTTGTGTGGTTTACTTGCATTCGTGTACATGCTGCGCGAATTATTTTAACGTCAAACGTCTTCTGACTGAAATTATTGCTTACACTATGAGAAATAAATGTGTAGATTTAATAAAACCCACAAATTGGTTAAACGCCAAACAGGTCAGGGTTGTTTTATACTGTTGCCGTTAGTAACATTCTTTGAACCTTATTTTCTTGGTTGTCAAATTTTGACTCCCCTAAATCTTCTCGCGATTTAGTAGCGACTAGCGACAAATAGATTTTCTGTATCTAACCGTGATGTGATGTGTAATGGGTTTGTGATTATTCACGAACCTTTTTTGTTTGGTTATTGCAATTATTGCGTGTGAAACCCCCAACTGCACTAAAGTAATTTACGACTCAATGAAGGGTCGATGTAAATGAAACGTTTATACGACCGTGTGGTTTCGAGTAATGTTAAATTACCAATTACTACAACACCCTTACACACACGGATTTATTTGCCCGAACATTTCGAAATTGTTTCGTTGCGCTTTGTTACTTTGCTGTGCTACCTGTGTGATCTTTACAAATGTGTATCTGGCCAATTTTCAAAAGCAAAACTGTGAGATGAATTTTTCTTTTTAATTTATAAACACTAATAAGATGCCTCTTTAGCTTACTTCTTCGTGTAACTGGTATGGGCTCCACTATAGAATTTAAATATTTGTCCCGCGAATTTTCCCTTTCGTTTCATGCAAGAAAGAGATAACAGGAATTCCATTGGTGTTCAGCCCATTTTGGTGCAAAGAGGCGGGGAGAGCTGAGAACGCCGTCATCCCTCAGAACTCAGAAGCAAAAGTGCAATTACATACCCTCACTTGTTTTTCGTGATGTTTTCTTTTTGTCTTTAGTTTTTTCGATACCGATTACATTGCATTATTTACTAAATGAATGTATTTCGTAAATACCAGTGTAGGGGTGGTATCGCCATTTACGACTAGGCATATCACGTGTATGCAGATTTAAATTGTTTAAATTCATTTTATTGTTGTGTTCCCTAATTGGTTGCTGCAGTTTGAGTATAGACAAATTGTTAATTTATAATTGAATTACTTGCAGCATTTCATTTCGTTTGCAGGGCCGATAACGATTATTACTTTTTCTATACAAGGTGCGAGTTGCGTTAGGTCAAGATTGTTGCATATTGCACTTGGCATTGAATTAATTAATGTACACTAATATTTTGCCACTCCATTTCCTTTGCTTTGCACTGTTTATTTTAACAGATTCATATTTTGCAAGGTGACTCGTTTCGAGTATGTGGTCTGCCATTATTTGATTTCGAAATCTCGCTTTGACCTAGCAGGGTAAACCATAAAAGTGCATAGTCCGTCTGACATACGCCAGAGATATATTTATATTTATATGTAGGTACATGTTTTTATGTGTCTTAGAAAAGGGCCACTTTGGTGATATTGATAATCGGCTCTTTTAAATTGATTCTTAATATGCAGTAACTTAATATTAGTTTCTTGTCAATCTGTTGCTAAACCTATAGATGGCAAGTATGCGCCCCACAAAGGGCGCCAAATAAATATACTATGTACTCGTATGATCAAAATTACGTATTTTCTAAATTATTAAAACAGTTTGTCGCAAAGTTAATGAACATTTTGGGGGAACGCCTACACAATTGCAGTATGGCGTGCCTAATCAATATTTATGGCTTTGGGACTGTTGAAATGTGAAGTTACAAAGCCTTTATGATAACATCAAAAACCCATTGGCACGCATTCAAAAGAAAAACAATCGTTCCATTCATTTAACGAGTTTATAGCACGTCATTATTTATGTAAATAATATTTTAACTGAAATACTCAGTGCTCATTCCTCAAATGTACACATACACTGAATTTATGGAAAAATCTTTCTATCAACCGGACCAAAAATTTCAAAAGAACAGTCAATATTAGAAAATAACCAAAGGATGTATTTGGAGAACTTATTGAATGTGGAGCAAACCGTTCTCAGTTGGTGCAAAGTATAGTAAGCCCGTTTTATTATGACTGCATGCCATCAGTTATGTTAATGTAAGTAGCATTTCTAAATTTCTTTTTTATTCCATAATAGTTATTTACATAATACGTCATGAAAGTGGTCGTTTACATGACGCGGAGGCTTATTGAAAAGTACGGAGTATCTCTTTAAGGTGGCGTTTACATTAAAAATTGGAAATTTGTTTCCACAATAACTGCCTTCTGGGTACAAATTTTTGGTTGAAATAGCATTCATTCTCATTCAAATATATAATATATAATATTCATTTTTATCACACACTGATAATAATTTGTTATCAAATTTAACTTCATTCTCAAGCTTAGCTCAACCTTTAGCAACCAGAAGCTTATTTTTTTACGTCGAAAGTCGAAACAAAGTTATTGAGGAAATCGCAAGGTAACTTGCACTTTTTGTAAACGCCACCTTAATGCCTCCAAGTCAGGTGGACTCACTTTCATGACGTATTATTACGTAGGTATAAAATTTTACCTAAAAACCGCAACATGTAGGTAACATTTCCAAATTAAATTATCTATTCATATACAGTGAATTTTTTTAAAATACGAACATAGGAGTTTGCATGCAATGTAATTTCCCTCGTAATTTCCCTATGTTCGATTTTAAAAAAAACACATCAATCTATGAGGTGTGCGCGGTTCACATTCCCAAATCGTACAACTTGTGTGACTATGAACAGCAACTGATAGTCTTTATGATGAAGAGCACCCGGTAAGATTTTTTTAAATAGGCCGTGTGAGGCCATAGCAACTTTAGGATAAATTTTTCTTAAACTTACGATAACTTGACTTCACATGGCACGCGCTGACATCGCAATTCATTGTGAACCAACCTTCAATTATTTGTAGGTCATGTGCACCTAGTATTCTACTAATTTGATTTATTCAATACATAAATGAAGAAAATAAGAAAATAAATACCGAAAACAATTACAATAAATGTTGGAAGTGTCCTCCTTGGCATTCTAAGCAATAACCTAACCGATTTCGTAATTAAATTGGACGGTGGTATTTTCAAAAATGTGACAGCTGTCAATTGTATCTACTACTCATTTGAACTACTCAATAGATTTATGTGTTTTTTTTAAAAATCGAACATAGGGAAATTACATTGCATGCAAACTCCTATGTTCGCATTTAAAAACAAGTTGTAAATCAGCATATGCATGATTAAAGCGCATTTTTGGTAATGCAGGTCAGTATTTTATTAGCGAAGTTTAAAATTATCGATCTCACGAGTAATTTTGGCTGCGTTAAATAATTAATTTTATTTAATTTCAATTGACGGTACGTCTTCATTTTGTAAAACAAATCACAAAGTAAATTAGTATATTAAGATACAAGTGTATAATCAAGTCTTTAAAGCACGCGCAACGAGTTTAAGGGCACGACGCAAAGCGGAGTGCCTTTAACGTTGCAAGTGCTTTAAAGACCAATTATACACGTGTATCTTATAGTATTTTTTATTATACCTGCAGTATAATTTAAAAATAGGAAATACAATGAAGTCATATTGACGTTATACTCGAATACATGTCTAATTAAGTGGGCTGGGTGTTCGTAATTTCACGATTGCCATGGAAATGTCACTTGACGTTTGCTTATAAAAATCATCGTCTTTGTGAATTAAACCACAGAATACGGCCTTCTCAGAATAGAAACAGCAATGTTACAAATTTGTATGGTATTTTGGCGGACCCTGGTGGGTGTATTGTGAACTAAAGCATCAAAATCAGAGTAGCGCCATCTGGTGACCAGCTTCTAAATCCATAATTTCCCCAATTCGATCTAAATCACAAATATAGATGAAGGATACACAGTTGTTAAATTGCAAGTATATTTAGATACAATCACATTACATTATTTAACACGGACATCTTAAATTACATGTTTACAAATTACATATAAAACTCAGAAGTAAGTGCAACTTACGCTTTGTAGAAGTTAACACTTTGCAAAAAGATCCTTACGTAACGAGGTCCTACGAAATATTTGGTTTTAATTGCTGTTTGGACTACATATTTTTGTTAAAAAATATATTTAGAACTAAATTTTTTGTTCCAAGAGGTGATAAAACCGTTTCAGCAAATTGTCACACAAGTTTTTGACAACTTGATCCTGGTGCTTACTGGTTACTTGAGAAGCGAGAGTGGAAGTTGTTGAATTATCTAAAACGAATTACAATATAAGTATCTACATCTATATAAATATAAAACTCAAGTCTACACCCTTTTGCGCCTATAGGTACAGTTGGTAATAATTCTGCGTCAATTTGTACCTGTTACTTACCTTGCATAAATAGGAAAGAAATAACAGCACATTTCAACCCTCTTCGCGTTTCAAGCACAAAACAACCTGTTTCAAAATGTGGGAAACGATGCCTTTTTGATATTTTATTGTTACAATCCGACACACAATACTTTTTACGGTCACATAACTTGTTCATATTTTAAATCTTTCAAAAGTCAAAATTGACATGTGGAAAACCTGTGTACGTATAAAATCGACGGTAAAAATATTTCCTGTAACGAGATTTGAGTCTGAGATAAATAGTTCTCCGTACAACCACGGGAAACGCTGTAATCAGTGACAATTTAGCGCCATTTATGTTTCTGTTCTGTGAAGGTCTTATTCTGTGAATTAAACGATTTCCGTTGAAAAAGATAATACACCGCCCATTAAATCGATTGTTGTAAAATCTAAACAAACGTTGGTAGGTGTAAAAACCAACTCCAATAAAGCCTATTATAAAGAATATGAAAAGTTGTTTCCATGGATGAATAGGAAGTTACTTACGAATACAGTCTTAAATGAATCGATAATGCTGGCATACATGAAGGAAATGTCAAAGGTATTTAAATCTTCTATATTTTGGTGCATTCATTCAAAACTTCCAAGCAATGTTGCGATTAAAAAGTGGAACAGATTTGGAAGCATACCCTAAATTACGCGCGTTTGTGAAAGCTTCAACCAAAGGATAGGTACAAAAGCCAAAGAAATGTTCTGCATTTACAGAAAGCGACCTAAGAGGATTTTTTATTTCATCCAGATGACAGTTTCAAAAGTCATACTTGAAGTATCGTTACTTAGCAACTTTAAAGCACGTGTGTTTTAAAGGCCTTTTTTCGCACGCATTTGAGTGTTTAAAACGGAGATTGTGATTCAGGTATAATAAAAAATAAGTTTTTATACTGGTAGCGCTATCTAACGGTAAAATTATAGCACGTCCGAAACCCATATCGAAATTATTTTCTTCAATTATCGATCACACATCTAACTCAAAATAGACTAGTGCCTGCACATCTACACTATAGCAGGAAGCTTTTAGTGAAAATTTGAAGTTTCTAGCTATTGTAGTTGTGGAGATCTAACGCGGACAGCCGGCCTGCCAGCAATAACGAATATAATAGCGTATTTTTTTCAAAAATGCGCTAAAAATTCACTGTATGTGAAATTTTGATACTTAATCACGCATGCTTAAAACACATTATTTAATTGTTTCCATAGAGATTTCAAATTAATTAAAACAAGCAGTGTCATTTTTACTGCAGTTTGCAGTTTATGCTTTGTACCTACTTTTCAACTACAGTCTTTATACCTAGGTACAAAAGCAGGTATCAGTGTAGAAGGGTACGCGAGACGTTGTCATAGTGTAGCCGAAGCTGCGGCCGCCGTAGTGCAATATTGTATTTTTGGCATATTTTGGCCAAAAAGCTAACACTTACAAACACTCAAATCTGTGAGGTACCTTTTCGACTAATGACGATATAACGCATCTAGAAATCATGTTGCTTTTGCGAAAACTAAAAAACCGTTTCTTTTTCTATATAAGTGTGTCAATGTATCTACACATAATTACTTCCACACATATTCCATTAATTGTTGAAAATTAAAAAAACCATTATCCTTTGTGCAGGTATGTTAATATTTAAAAATATCCACATAGTCAGCATTATAATTATCTAATCGTTGATGCAATAACTTATTCAATGAAGGATCTAATTGTTATTTTGTAAGTACTAGGACTGTAATGGGAGTCAGGCAAAAATAGTACAGTACTAGTCAAGTAAAGATCAATTTTCTAATGTCAAAATAGCTCTGAAATTTATATTTTCTTGGCGGTTTCAGGTAAATAATCTTTGAAATTGAGTTTATTTAAATTTAAAAGCGTATGTACTTTTCCTTATCTCGTGGACGTCAGGACTTAACTTCCCTAAACAGACCATATGAAATAACGGTTTCACAACTACGATATATTGCTATACCTACGCTAAGCATTTTATTCACTACAACAGCTTTATTCCATCATTTGTGAAATCTAAAGTTGACAGGTGACGCTCCTAAATACATTTGTTACCTAACCTACTATGAAATCTGCTTATCCCTTACTTTTACCCAACAATAATTAAAACCAACCCTCATAAAATACAACAGCCAAGTGCGACTTCGATGAGCACAGTGACAAGTACATGGAAGCTGTTTATCAAACTTATTACACTGAGCGAAAAGTATTGTTTAAATTTAACAAATCAATTTGTTTAGGCCACATTTATTTATCGTTACCTACCGTTTTTAACTGTTAAGATCGTTTATTAAACAATAAGATAGACATTCTTTAATATATAGAAAATCATATAGTATCTGTCTGTATTTTAGATATTAATATACTGGCATAGTATTAAACAAATCACCTTTAGGATTACCGCTTACAAGTCTAAAATGACATGATACTTTCTAACAATAAAGAATGCTGAACTTATTACTTTACACTTATAAAGTAGGTACTGTATACAAAGTTGAGGTGTGGACATCTTGTCTTTTCATTCAAGCATACTGTGTAGTTACCTCATTGAATTAGTCATTAATTAGTGCGGCTACAGGGTTGATATTATAAAACAGTAAAGTGCATTGTGAATGTGATTTTCATTTGTTTCCCGAAATCCAACAAATCACATTATGTGGTGCTTCAATTTTACGTTAGAAATATGGACTACGAGATGGACTAATATAGAATCTAGCGAAAATTATTGAGGCGGTGCGCGGGTTTAGCGCAATTTTCCGAAGTGTTTGTAGGTAAGTGAGTCCCATATTAGCCATATTAGTTTCTAAAGTAGTGTAGTATAGTACTCTTTTGCATTAATTGCTTAATAATAATAATAATGATGGTACCTATGACATCATTCCTACCAGAAAACACAAAATGAGCATAGCTTTAGCCATAATAATACCGTATAATACACAATGCCAAGCTATAGCCATACTAGGAACTCGTTTGCTATATATTGTTTTAATTTTTTACTTTTTGGTTTGCCAAAAAAATTTGAAGTTTTTGGGTGTTTTACTTGGGAAATAAATTTTGTTTTTGGTAATTAATGTTGTCTTGGTATTGAAAATTACATCCTCATTTTATTTTTAGAATTTGGAAAAAAACACAATGGATGAAACCCATAGAATTTTATTAAAAGATCGCGTACCGAATTGAGCATCCCTTTTCGAAGTTGAGTCGATTAAATTTAATGGAGTGAATTTCACAATTGGTTGCGCGTTGATACTTCTAGACCCAAAGGATGACGGTGAATTACCTGTATAGTTGGGATTGTAAAGTATATTTTCTACAGAAGATAAAGGTGTGTTTTTATTTTGTAATGTTATTACTAATATAGGTACTATACATCCTGATAGGTGTGGTTATATATTGAACACGTTCACACACACATTTGGTTGCTGGTGGGCAATATGTGTTAAATATGTTTAAAGTAAAATAAATGATTATTTTTCTTTTTATTATTAGTAAAATTAACAAGTAGTTAAGTAGTTTATTAACGCAGTTACGGATTTTTAGCACATTTAAGATTATCTACAGGATTTTTTTTAAATAAACAGTTATTGATTTGGATTCTTTGTTGTTAATATTAGTTAATTTACATCCCGTTTAATCCTATCAAATAGTTATTGAAAGTTAATAAATATTTTGTACCCATCAAGTGCATAATTCTTAAATCACTTTGTCATTAGTAAAGAAATTGTGGTAAGCATCATTTATACCGGAATTAATACAAAACGTTTCTTAATAATAAAATACCATTAGATCTAGGTATATTATCAACGTATTCCATTATCATTATTAAACAAAATTTAATACCAATTTTGCCTTCTTTAATAGCTAGTAAATATCAAATTTATAGTTATTATACCACATTACTATCAAACAGTTTGAGGCTTAGGGTATAACAATTATATGTTAACAGTTAAAGAATAGCATTATCTTCAAACAAATATGTAGGATTAATTTCAATCATTTATTGCTTATGGTAAAAATACTATTTCTAGGTGTCACCATAATTGAGTAAACCATTTGGTAACAACAACATTTTATTTGTTTGTTGACATTTGAACTTAATATTTGTTAACTCAAAATAAAATTTGTTTACTGTAACCAAACTTTTTTCTCAGTGTATAAAAACAAAGGGCTGTTGCACAGGAGTTTTCAATTATCCACCAATGTTTAGCATTTTCCGATTGTTCGAGTGCTAACAGCATTAAATTTGCGATACTGTAGACAACGATATAAATTCACACAGTGGATAATTTCATCTCGTCGATATCAATTGTAAAACGTAGGTTTTTTGTACCTATAGATGGAAGGTTTATTTGTTCCAGGTGCGACGCTTCTAGTTTTGTGTATTATGTTGCGAGGATTATAAAAGCACTAAATAAGTTAATATCTGTTCTTCTAATAAATCTTCTCACTTCAACTTTTACAAAGTTGCATTTTATCGTGGTTCCGCGTCATTAAGGAAACCCAGATAATGACACCGAAAGTGATTACTTCCTTAAGGAGCTTAACGTTTTCCGATTACGTACAGTAAAGCCCTTATCTTAGAGTTAAAATCATTAATCCCAAAATTGGAACAATTCAACTTGCTAAGTGTTATTGATTATCTTCGGAAACCAAACGTTATCATGATGTTGTTAACTAATACTTAAGTGGAAGTGGTTTAATGATCGTATAGGTTGTGGTAATGAGCCTCCAATAATATAATTCCACAGTGCCTTTAATTATTGTGTGAATGTTACTGCGTCATAAACATAACGCAAAAGTGTTACTGTCTATCTCATGAAGTCAAAATTGATTGCTGTGACAGCAACATGGATTTCAAGTAATATTAACACAAGCACATTCAAGTAATTAATGTCAGGCCTTATAGTAACCTTTAAATTATAATACCACCACATGCTACCTGCTCCTGAGCTGACTTAAATAAATAAAACAAACCCTCCAAATCTCACCTACCGTGATTCGCACTTCTATAACACGAAACTACATGCATTTTAGTAATTCACCTCCTTTAATTGCAGCATTGTACTTGCGTATAAAACATGAAGATAGTTCGCCTTACGTCATTAATTATTCAGGAAGTGCCTTCAGGCGCACCGATACCTTCGGCTTCAGTTTCCAACGTTCGAAATGTCATAAATGTATAAATGTAGGTATATGTCACGTAGCCCACCCGATAACAACTCTCTCTCTAGTTATAAATTACATGAAGTTTCGGATATCAAAAACTGACCAATACCAGCATACCAGCATTTTAACGCAGCAATATACCTACATCGATTGATGAAAGTCCGTCTATCACAAATTATTTATTTTATGTCATTATACTAGCGGTTATAGATAATTATAATAATAGATAAGAAATATTAGATTTGATTTAGAAAGAGTCGGGGTAGTCAGTGAACGCTGTATCTAGGAGACAGCAATTGTTCTAAACAATTTTTTTTCAATCATGAATGCTGAAAATGCAACCAATGCAATTCCTGAAAAAATCGCCTCGAATGCAGTCAAAGCTACTGAAAGTTTATAAGATGCGTATACGACAAAGAATTTCCATAAATTGGTAAGTCAGTTGGTGAAGTTCCATCATTGTCGTGAATATTCCTGAAAGAAGAACTTCCACGACTTTGTTGGCGGATGCGAGGGTTTTAATGACAACGTTGAAGTACCACGGTGGCTGGAAAAGTACGGCTGTTGCGGAAGGGTATTTGGAAGATAGCCAGGCGTCAAAAATTAAAATTGCGAAGATGCTAGCAGGTGTTCCTTCTACTGAAGCAAGTACATCTTATCAAGCGTGGACTCTTAGTTGCCCTATTGCCGCCGCTGGTGGAAACAACGCAGCCCATCGAGGAACTTCGAACAGCTTCCAAGGCACATTCGAAAATTGTAATTTCTATTTTTCATGACATTAATATTTTATAGTTCCTAAATATAATTATAAGAATTCTTTTGCCCTAGGGTATTATTACCACTATACTATAACCCTATAACGTATCTCGTCTCCAAGGCGTTAATAAACAATGGTCTACTACGATATAAAATGTTGTATGTACCACGGGCATTACTTGATGTTTATGCCCTCGGGCGACTTACAAGCCCTCGGGCCAGAGGGCGACTTACAAGCCCTCGTGCCAGAGGGCACATACATCCTCATAATGGTCTTAATGCATAAATAACTATTAGATACTGTTTTCTAATTTAATGAAACTTCTCGTCATGGTAACATTGTATGATTCATCATTAGAAGCCTCAGTGGCAGATTTACATATAGGCACACTAGGCACGTGCCTAGGGGCGGCAGCTTTAGAGGGCGGCATTTTTTTGCACTATATTTATTTTAGGTAATATTTTAAGTTTTAGACCCCCAACAAATTACAAATGCTAAAATGTTTAATTAAAATGAGATAAAATGGAATTAGATAGTTTAAACAAACTGTAACTGTAAGAACGATAATCGACAATTCAAGTTTTGACGTGTGTGAATATACTATATTTCTTTTCATATTAGTTTTAAAAATTTCAAGTTATAATGTGATTTTTGTTAGCATCTTAAAATTTATTGCAATTTAAAGATTATTTTTGAAGGGAGGGGCGCCTAGGGGCGCAAAAAATTTAAATCCACGACTGAGAAGCCTTATTCGTACCTACCTTAAAAGTTGCGATCAAGAACAAGCGCCGGATGCACGTTATCTATTTTTAGCAGATTTTTTTTAAATTAAAAAAAATGTGCTATGGTTTGCGTTTTGTATGTTCGTCCGTCCGGGCCCACTTCTGCGGTTTTGAACTACATTAAGGGGATTGCCTTGTATATCGATTTTTTGTTGTAATTCACTTTTAATCCTAAATTCAATCAAACAATTGTAAATGGGTCGATATACGATACCTTATATTCAATGAGAATGAACTGGATACCTTACTTATAGAACAAATTGGTTTTCGCTAGTCATTAATTTGTATAAGACATGTTAATATTAATGGCCCTCAGTTAGTCGAAGGGCGATATCTTTAAGAAAATCCAAATCTAAAATTTTACTTACCAAAAGTATACATCAAGATGAATTTATAAAAATGTTTCCCTGACCCTTTTACAAAATACAGACATTACAAATACCTTACTTAATTCTGGTACTTTGACAGCGGCGATGTGGATACAAATACAAAGTGGAAACAAACAGCCCTCCTCACAGCAATATTAGCGTAGATTATTCATGGAGTTGTATCGTGGAATCTCCTTGACGGATAATATTTTCGCTTTAGTGAATTCGAACAAGAAATGGCTGTCCTCGTAACGAAATTTTCTTAACAATTCTATGTTCAATTATACAAGCAAGCGATTAATTTTTTTCCACATAGATTTTAACATTATTGGTCGCGGATTAAGGAGAAATTTGGTGCACTAAATCAATCATTTTACACTTGAACTTTTGCTACAATTTTTTAAAGGCGGTAATAATACTCAACGAAGACCAAAAACTCACAAATAGGGGAAATAATTCGTGTAAAAGCGATTTTTTATATAGTTGTAGGTGAAGGTGTGTTAAACAACATACTAAAAGTACTGATTTATTTATTTATTAGTTATTTATTATCCCTCTCTTGTTCTGGACCCTCAAGCGCGCCCAATTACAAAGTGACCCGCATACTGCTTTTTAGAGATGCCTCTGCAGGAGTTCCTAAGTTGTTCTATTACTACTCCGGTATTTACCTTGCGAATTGGGAAAACTGCAGGAAACCTAATTCGGAGTAGTGGGCAGAATGCTCGAAACTGGTCAGGAAATTCCCATCTCTGTCACAAATGAATGGATGTGGGGTGGAGCTAAAGCCTAATTTACATTTGGCAAGTTTACTGGCGGAAAGTACTGTCGGCCAGTAAACTTGCCACGTGTAAATGCGCGGAAAGTGCCAGTTAAATAGAAATAGGGTAGCAAGTTTACTGGCAGAAAGTACTTTCGCCAGTAAACTTGCCAAATGTAAATTAGGCTTAAGAGTAAATAAATTTTTTTTCTACAATCGATATCCAAAGTAGGCATTGGCGCTCGTATTTGACAACACAAACGTCATCTTTTTCGAGGAATGTCACTTTGTCGCTTATAGCAAAGAGAAGGGTTGTCTTTGCTTATAGGTAAGCTTAGCTTAGTTATAAGCGACAAAATAAAAAAAACGCTCGCTCTCCCAATTATTAACTATAAATCAAATATGCATTGCTCAGAGTATCCAATGACAACGAGTAAATGACATCTTTCATTTCGGCATAAGATTAAAATAATAATCTATGATTTGAGTGAAAAATTTATGTTTTTCACATGACCATAATGGTATATGTCGCCTACCGTGTCGGAAACCCTTCAACATTATTTATTTACGCATCAGAAAACAAAACTAACAATGTTGTGTATCAAAAAGCATTACCTACAATAAACACTATGTTTTTTATTATTTCTTCCAGCTCGAATTGAATAGGGTAGACATTTTAGTTAAGTAAAGTTGAAGAAGTGTACCTATAGTGTTGGTACTAAACCTACCTACTAAAAACAATATAATATACCGTAAAAGTTTAAGTTGTCAAAGTAAATCGATTTCGAAGGGTTTGCTAAATTTTAGAATATTAAGGTAAATAAATACAAGGCTTTACTTTCAAAGAATTCTTTCATTCGTTTACGATTGCGAAAAATGACTTTGTAACTTTCAACTTTGTATTTTAATACCTAATTTAGTACGAAGTTTTAAAGGAAGCAGCGAATGCAGGGATGAAACGGATCTGAAGTTAATATCTTAAGTCGCCCTGCTTAGACATAAACGAAATTGGATTGTTATGCCAGCGATTATCATAAGATTACGTCTGTGTAAGTAGCTACAAAGCGGAAGGAATTTCGTTATAAAAACGTAAAGGGATAAATGATACAATAATGATAAGTGCAGCAATTCTCGCTAAACTCTCCTACTCATTGCATTTCAAGCCATCGACTTTCATAAACTGAGCAAAAGCTAAAAAAAACTGCAGCATTAATTCTAATCTCTCGGTATTTTAGTTAATGATCTGATACTTTTTAAGGGATTTTCCCAAAGGGGAAGGTGGCTGAGCTTTCTTTGTATCGAAGTTTAACTTTATCACAACATGCCTGACTGAACTTACGAACAAAATTATTCCGATTGCTGAATTAATATTTTATAACAATGAAACCACCAGCAATAGGGTGGCTCTACAACAGAACTTCGTCAAGCTAAAACACAAAATTCCATGCCATATGGTTACCCAAACAAACAAACAAAAAATAACACAAATGATCTCTGTCGGCCCTTACTGTTATCTGAGAATCACTTATTTCTACTTACGTGTTTATAATTTAAAAAATATCCCAATAGGGCCATCAAATAGGATTTTTAATTCAAAATTCATTATTGGGATATAGCCTATGCAAATATATCATGGGTATTTATAAACCCAATCAATCGATTTCAATCGTCTCAACCTGTGAACATTTCACACAACTCCTTAAGGATCAAAATTAGGTTATTAGCAATTCAATATTGTTCTAGTAGGTAACAACATAATGAAAACAGTACCTTATTGGTCTGTACTTCCCTGGTCAACATCAATAGAACCGCTCGACTTCATCACCTCCACTTTGTTATTCGCGGTTAGATCGCGCTTTGATTGGTCGATTAATTTCGCGGTTTCGTGGGATTTATTTGAATTTCGCGGTTTTACGAGTTTAATTGAATTAAATTGGTCAAATTAGATTAAATTGTCTGATTTATTCGAGCAATTAGTAGAATTCGCGGTTTTGTACTTGATTTGCTTTTTTGATTTGATTATCTGGTTCTCTAATTGCTTTTATCTTTATCACTTCATGATTCTGAAAGAGCTGATGGAAATTAAAACGTACAAAACAAGTTTTTAAAATGTTTATTTTCAAATCATTTTTCGTCAATCTTACAAAAGTGATATAATAAATTAGTTATATCGTCATTATACAAACTCGTTTCCACACCACCCAGGAGGTAGAGTTAATGGCGCGTTTTTTTAACGTGGTATCCCCAGGAGGCCTAATCCACCTTGTACGTAAAAACATGTACATACAAAATAAAACTAATTTAAACTAAATTCACAATATTATCACGAACTATAACCGTAGGGCAGGGTATCAAAGCCTATCTCCATTCGACGGCGCTTCGTGTATTCAACGCGATATTTCTTACACTCGGGCCGTGAAATGACATCGTACGTACGCGTACGTTTCTAACTTCACACGATTTTAACACCAACTGGTGATGAAAAAACAATCGACCATTCGTATGACATTATAACTAATTTACTTTTAATATTAAAACTTAAATTCGTATTGTCTCAGATTCTTCACAGATTCAAGCTTCTGAGAGACTTTTAAAATTCTTAATTGTTTTGCGTGTTTTTAGTCTGCGTCTATGTTCAACTTATTTTTTCATGTGCATTTAATTCATTTCTTCCTTCTTTTAAGATTTCAATAAAATCCGCCCACAAATAATGCACCACTGGTACAATTGGGCATGCAAAACCTATCCTTTGACATGTCATTTCAATTTGAATCTACAACAGAACAACAGCGTAAATAACTGCGAAATGAAAGTAGTGACTAGTACACAGGAGCTTTTATCGGAGCGTTTATAAAGCCAAAGCCAGAGAACCTGTACACGTGTATAAATTTTACTTGAAAATTAGCAAATGAATAATTTGATCACGCCATCAATATCAGTTATCAATTAAGCCGCTCATTATGATGCGCGATTATAGGAGAAATGATCGTGTAAATTACTAATTTCCAGAGAAGAGAAACGTTATACTATTGTGGTTAGAATATTTAAAATTTTAATCAACGCTTGGAAATGAGTTGAAAAAATGAAAATACCTGCCTTTCGCCTACTACCTAATTTGCAAGTAATACCTCTAGAATAACTCGGATAAAGAACAATATCTGCTTAATTGTAGTAAAACTAATACCTATATATGTATAGTATGTACGTTGAATCTACGGTATTTGTAAAACTCACATATCGGCATTTTCTATGTAAGTAATACATGTACTAGAAACAGACATGTTTTTATATCGTATGCACTTACGGTGGCACTATAGGTTGTTGATGGAAGAGCTTGGAATCGGGATTGGATTCATAATTTTTCGATTAATGTTAACCGTAATTATTGCAAATTGTTCAAATGTATAACCTTTTTATTTTGTTCTAGATGGCCTTTAAATTGTCAAAAGCACACCAGTAATGCAACTTCACACTATGGTAACGACAATCAAATGGCATTATGAATATGTGGGAGACATATTATGAGGATTCATAATAAAATTAACTCTGAAAAATGGAAAAGACTGATAAAGCTGTGTCTACTGAAGACTTACATTTCAAACCACAAAGGGCAATTTACGTAGAAGTTGCAAAATTAGAATCTGTATTTAGAATCCTTGTGGAAAATAAAGCGCAAGCAATAAAAAATGACAAAGTACAGCTGTCGAGCATCAATTCAAGTCCCAAAAGCTTCGTGCATCGTTTACGAATGGCCTCTTCGTTATCGTCAAACTATTCCAAGGGGACCGTTAAAAAAAATTCGCCCAGTCCCAAACACAGGAGGCGTAGAAGATTAACAGATGAAGAAGAATTGGATTACAACTTTAAGAAATCGAAAACTGATGGTAAGTTTAACTATTTGAACCTGCATTAGCATATACGCAATACCTACGCTCTAGGCACGTTGGCGTACAATCAATAACATAAACTGAATGTCTGATTTGCGTAATTAGACCTGTAATTTTTTCTGGCAACGATGTCTTTAGCTGCATTGAGCGTGGACAGTGGATACAACAAAACATCAATTCTGTTAATGGTGACGCCCGACTAGATTTCAATAGTCCTCTGAGAAATAAAAATACAAAAAACATCAAGCTTCCAAAATTATCGTCAGCTTCCATGGCTAACCCAGTGATGTATCAGAAACATCAAACCCAACGTGCAAGTTATCTGCCAAAAAACGTTATTTTGTGATATTTAGTATGAGCAAAATAACGTCTTCCACAAATAACCGTCGTTAGAGATACCTACATCATCACAGGGCTGATTAATATATGAAGTTTGGTGCTAAGATGCAAGTGAATTTACATGCACTCGTTATCCGTCCACACATCGTCCGGATTCGACATACGATGTAATTTTAATAGAAATTTACGAATATTCAACGCGATTAACCAGTTTAGTATATTTTCCAAAATTGTCACATTTTTCTACCAACAAAACAACCCGAATAATCGAGTAAATTAGCCTAAATGCCCATTGGATTACGTGTATTGTGTAACGGGTAGTTACAATATTTAAACTGATTACTTCCTAATCAATAATAGTTAGTTTATATTATACAAGACGATAAAGGAATCTTTTATTCATCAAATGGATTAACTGTCATGAGATGGTTAGTTTCCCTTTATCGTTGTATATAATACAAAACTTTATTTTATAACAGAAGCCATAGAAACCATGATAAAACTTCTGAAAATTTAGACGCGAAAATAACAAGCTTAGGTTCTCCCTTCGCTTCCATGGAAACTATATTGTATTCTATTCAGAACTTCATTTTATATCGTGCTCCGCGTACCATTTAATAAGAGTGACGGATGTCATTAGAATGCACAATGATTTGTTCCACGTTATCTACTCTTGCCGTTAAAGTAATTACTTTATCTACCCTTACGATTAAAGACACTACTAAAATTTTAAACCGTGTTGAAAATAAAGTCTGTCTTTTCCGCATCATTCAAGTTTCAATGTCTCTTTTGTCCTCTTGAGTTCTAATGAGTCGGGATTGGTAGAACTAAAAAACTTAAACCCATGGAAATTAATTCACGCCGGCCTTCATAAACAGCGACGCACAAATGATTACCTATTTAAATCGGTACGTAATATTGCGAAAATTGCGACACAAAATGGTCAATATGTTATTAGGTTTTGCCACATTTAAATATCAGCTGACAGTTATTTATACTATTTTTAGATTGTACACTATTGTATATATATACAATTTTCAGCTGTACGAAAATGGTCCGATTTTTCGTATTTTTCCTACATTTTCACGCATGCAGCTAGCAGATTTTTCCACGTGGCCAATGCAGCTGACATATTTTTTTATGAAAGGAATATTACAAACATATAACCTACAGTTTTTGAGCTTTGCTAAAATGCCCCGAAAAACAATTTTTTACGTGTTTCCCAGTCTCTCTCTTCAACCAGCTGACGCCCCTGTCGTTTATAAGTTATGGCTCAAAAATATATAGTAGACAGATGGGCTTTGCGAAAATGCTTCGGTGAAATAGGACGCTACCTCCCGGGCTAAAAGCAAAGTTTACGTATATCTGTGGCATATTTGCATAAAAAAATTAAATCATATAAACTATTTGTTGTATCATTTTCCCAGAGAAAAGTCATTTTACACTTGCAAGTAAACCAAACACCAAATAGAGATCGGTAACTCTGAAGAATTTCTTATTGAGGAGATAAAAGCGGATTGTCCCGGCAGAGAGGTGCCTACATGCACTTTCGTGATAATCAACTAATCCATCGATGGAATAAAATTTTACTGTACGTAGATGTCTCGGATTCATCGAAAGAAAACAGTTAGGTATCTTTGAGCGAGTCTTTGAGGGAGTAAATAAAGGAAATTATTGCCATTGCATTTTGTAATAGGTTTATAGTAAAATTTAGATTGGAAATTTTCTTAAAGGGTCTAACTAAATTTTTGAAAAATGGTACAGTAGAGAAGGAATATGTACAATATAAAATAATGTAATTGCGTAATAGTATAGGTATAATTTGTATTTTTATGTCTTTGCATTTTGATCAGCTATTTTAATCGTCAATAATCTCGAATTAGCAATAGTAAAACTCTTGTCAATGTATAAGATAATTTGTTGCAATTGATTGATAATAACAAAACATAATGAATATAAATCACATACACAAAACATGATATATAATAACAGGTTAAAAGCAAGTTGAAAAACAAAGAACAGTTTGGCGTACAATCAGGTAACAAAACAAGATTTTCGAAAACTGAAACAGCATGTTTATCCCCAAAAGGCTGTAGCGGTTTTTCACTAACAAGGTTCCAGAACGTCTACATCAGAAGAATTCACTAATGGAGAAGTATAAATTTCGACTTATGGGAAGTATTTCAGCGAGTTGTCAGAATACGGAAAATGTTTGTAGGAAATATTCGCAATATTTAGAATAGAATGCAAAACAGTGCATCTTGGTTTCAATAATGAAAGCGATCGAAGGTGGACGCGAAGTCTGACAAATGTGGTAAAAATTGTTGTTGCTTTTTTTATAAGCTTATTTACACTCTATCATAACTTGTAAAAAAATGAAGTCAAGTTCTGGTAACATGAGTAAATGTTGCGATTGAGACAATGAGACGTCGCATTAGAATCGCCGTGTTAGGGGATACTTCCAAATTCGGAGTAGGTATACATATTAATATTCCAGAACTACAGCTCTTAGTTATGTGGAGTAAGTAATGAGCTTCCAAACCTATTTACCGAAGTTGTATATTCTCACCTCACATAATAATTGCCTTAGGATCCAAAATAATCTAAATAAAGCACTGGACCTGGACTCTGGACAAGAAACCACATCTGAACATAAGATGCGGGGATCTGAAAATAAACTTGTGGACCGGAAACACGTTACCGGAAATAAGGAGATATGACGTCGAAAAAGAAAGTGACAGAAACGACTTTAAAGAGCTTCAATGGCTAAAACCGGAAAATAGACCCGCCGCCTTTCGACTCTACAATCCTGCTAACACATACTGGTGCACGATGCAACTATAAAGTCTGGCACAACTGCTAAATCTTTATCTTTGTCAGTTGTTTGCTTTACCTCACCTCCGAAAAATCACTCCTAATAAATTTATGTCCTTTATTGTCTTCATTTTGCACAAATTGAAGGGTTGCCTGAAGATCGCCTTACAATTTCCACGATATGCCTAATCATATACCTATCAACCCCATTTTCGCAACGTACTAACAAAAATTCCAGCTTAGCTTATAAATTTTAATTTGAGCTTCATCCTGCATTAAAAAAACTGATGGGTATAAAAGCGCGGGGTTTATAGAGTGAATGGGGCAGTAATTAGACTTACACTTTCATATACGTTATTGGCATCATTGCACATCACGATGGTAGATAAAACGCAATAAATAAATTGGTTTATTGATCAATTTATTAAAGAGTGAGGGGTCGTACGCTATAACGTTACTTTTCAAATAAATTAAACGCGACAGTAAATTTGTTATGAGTATGGCTTATTTACTTAGGTGAATAATCAGAGGGTCTTTTTATGAGAACATGCCTTGCTCGTAAATTATAATTTTGCAATAAAAACGCTTAGATTGAATGCGGCAGTTTTATATAAGTATACGTATAAGCATAGAGGAAATAGTTCCTCTATTGTATAAGTAAGTATTCATGTAAAATGGACTTACTGCACGACTGAGAGCTTATAGCCAATACGATTAAAAATCATTATAGTGGTACCTTATTTAAGTAAATAACTAGTATTAACTAACTATTATGTATGTCTATAAATTATCGTCTCCTTAACCATATATTATAGAAATTGTACCTTGTTCAAAATGTAAAGCTCTGTACCTACTCTGAAAGGAGAAAATTGAACAGTAAATGTGAGCACGATTTCATGACCCCAAATAGTCTAAAATCCTTTTCCTGGAAATTGGCTTTCTTAAGCCTTCATTTGTTTCCACAAATGGAAAAACTAGTGGAAAAAGGTTTGAAAGAGTGTGTTTTACGGAGAAGGTACACATATAAAACGAAACGCAGTTACGCAACAGTAAATTACTAGGGACGTCAAACAAAAGGATCTTATACTTACCTATACTACAGAACACTTTCAGTCGCACAATGATAGTGGTATGGTAATAGGGGATAAAGGGTTTCCAACTTTACTTTATTCCAAAATGATGAATACATTCAAGTAAGTATATAAAACTGTCACGACCTTCTCTATAAAAGTTAAAAATCTCTTCCCCGCATAAATTTACTTTCTATTAAAAATAGTTATTCCAACATAAATCGTATCAGGGACATTTTTTACTTTAACGTCTGTTATACAAATATCCATTTGAATAGCAGTTTCAATATACTCCCCAGATTCTATACCCCCGTATATCTTTTACAGATACAACCAAGGGCGATGTACAAAGCCCACGCTTTAAAAGGCATCGCTGTTGTCTACGGCCGTATGGGGATGAAGAGACAAGAGAAATTATCAAATATCTACATTGTGATAGCATTTGCTCAGCTGACGACTACATAAACATTTCACCAGCATCATATCCATGTTGTTCCACGGAACACCCGCAAATGTAAGTATCTACCGTTGCTGTATAATATAATGTAAAGGAGAATGTTTAGGACAATGCCGTGCACCGCCGACTATGTCTCGCTCAAAATGGAAGGTTTTGAAGATATTGGAGATGAGTCATCAATAGCCTATCGTAATTATTTAAATAAGGATAAACGCAGGCGTCATAGAAGACGAAGAAGAAGAAGAAAGAAACACTTGGCCAGTCACATTGAAATTACTTCTTTGCCTATATCTGAAGAAGTAAAAGAGATTGATCCAGATGAGCTTCCGCCGAGAGCTCGATGGACAATTGTTGTCACTGCATGTTTACTGTTGTTCATGTGTCTTCTTCTTGTGGGGATTACGCTACGGATGGCACCGATTATAGATGATATGGGTAAATAGTCCTCTTTCCATTATCGAATGCGCACATCATTAACATTACAGCTACTAATATAGAAACATATACACGAAGGTGCGACTATTAGTATATTCGATGTTTCATGAGCTATAAATGAAACGTGAAACCAGGTACCTATATGTATACTTAACGATTTGCGAAATGATCTCAAAGCCGACTTTGTGCCATATTGTGATTCCTAAAATCAAAAGTCGCATAGCTTACATTTTACTCGTATAAGTTTCTTCCTTGTAATATGTAATGCAACAATTAGATTAATTTTAAACACTACAATCCTGATACTTTTTTGTAAAACATATTGGTCGAAGTTTTTAACCCTGTGTCACGTTCAAGTTACTCCTTCCGCTGCATCAGTAGAATCCTTCATCCCGGAAAACTTACTCAGTTACATTTGCTCACGTAACATTTGACCTCGAAGAAAACATCCCCAGATTATTCGCCTCAGAGATATTCGATCTCAGGAAAATTTGCCTCCGCCGAAGTAGGTACTCGTCCCCTAATGAATATTCACGATCGGGAAAGATACTGAATAAAGAATTCGGCCGTAAGAAAACTCGATGGGAATCTCATGTGGTTTTTAGCGTTTTTGTAAAAAATACAGTTTATACTGAGTTTATACCTAGTACATGAAGTCCGTCTGTTTGAGGGTTTTAGATTTCGACACTCAAACCTGCGTAAATGTAGAGTGAATGAAAATAAAACATTCGTAGGCGCATTTCTACTTTGTTGTGGGTTACTATCCAGAGTGCCTATTATTCACCTCCAACCAAATTAAATCCCACAGGAAGCTTTCCATATCAACATGCGCTAGCGGAAGTCCATCCCACTACTCCACCGCTATAGCAAAGAGTGGCTATAGTTACCAGTATTCTCTATACAAAGCGGGCCATATTTAAAGGGGAGACTCGTTTTTAGCGTTATACAGAGTGAATTTTTCATTTTCACTATGCGGATCTCGTAAACCGTAAAGAAGTTATGCAGAATTTTACGCTGATTAATTTACCCATTCAAAGTCTCTTGTAAAAAATGCGAAGTTTTGGTAAAAAAAACAGATGTAATTTTCAAAAATGCGTTGGTGTTCATTTGTTTTTAAAGATAACTGCAAATTCATGAAAAAAGGTATCACTTTCAAAACTAGTCGTACCAATAACTATAACAAACCCTTTACGTTATTCTCAGCTTTCTAATGAGGTTAAAATAAAATTTTTATGACTTGTGGGGCTCGAGTAAATCACATCAACTTTCTTATTTGTTATGGACATCATATTGGATTTTTACGTCACTCGATAGGGAAATAAATTATAAAACCAGTGAGACTATACGCTTAGTATGTATTTCATGTACTGATTGTACATGGTCAGTCAGACGGACGTCAGTCTCGTCGAAAAGACGAAAACGCCATTACATAAGGACATACTTCATGCAAAAATTATGAATTTGCGTAAGGAAAAAGCTGTTATTGCATTATGTCATTCGATATGGTTTTCTTTCTGAATCTATTTGGCTCAAAAATACAGTAAATGATATTATCCTCGTGTAGTGTTCAGGGGTCGCACCGAGCTCAACCAGAGCATTTCATACACGACAGGTCAACCACAATCCGATCTTTTATATCCAATTTACAGAAAAACTTCCCTAAATCCCAATACTTCAAGCTTCTTTGTAATATTTATCCTAAGAGATTATCTGTTCGGAAACTGTCCCTTAAGGTGTCATTTAAATGTGTGACTTGATGGCCTTGATGCATTTTCTAGAGTCGATTTCGAAATCCATTCCACTGGTTCACACATTTTGCAATGAAAAATTCGCCTGCATTTTCCTCGATTCTGTGAACCTTTGAGAATGTAGGTACTTTTATATATATGTTCTTCAAAACGTCGTCATTATAGTCTAATTCTGATTCTCTTTTGCTATTTTTTTTTCTCGGCCGAATCTCCTTAAAAATCTACAAATTCAGCAATATTATTGCTTGTAGCTGGACACTGGACTGAAGTAGGTACTCCACATTAGTTTTCCCGTAATTCATAAATTTCTTTGCCTCATTGCGAAGTGTAATGAAAGTTTACAGGCTTTCGGGTTCACAGCTTAGAAAGCAATAATCATTACGGTGAAATTATTCATATAAAAATCATAGCATCACAACTTCGTGTCAGTGCGAACCATAATAAAGTCTGGAGAGACATTTTTGTGAAATTCACATCATCTATACCACCATCACATCAAGTACTTATAGCACAGAGTGTTTAAATCTGTGCACCGAGGCACGTGGCGCAGTGGTCGCGCTCACCGATGCTATTCGGGAGGTTGTGGGTTCGAATCCCGCTGCCGACTGCTCTGTCTGGGGTTTTGTCAGGGGGTTTTCCTCAGACATACGTAGCTTCGCATAATGCTAGCATTATGTTGAAATCTACGAGGCGAATGCTGGAGCAGTACTCTCCCCCTCAGCACCCTAACTCCGTTCCTTCCGTTCCCATCCCTAACTTTACCCATCCTTACAATCCCGTTCTCTGGCTGAAGAGGGCCAGGAAGCCCTGAGCAGCCCGCCTCCGGTATCCCTGTAGTCAGGGGTGCCGGAGGAATGAAACACGTTGGCCTTTTTCCTTTTTCCTTTAAATCTGTGCTTATATTATAGAACAAATCAGCTTTTGTCGCTCCCATCAAACGCGCGTTCATATTCATGTTCACACGCACAAAATACTCTGATTTATTATGATGTATTTACAGTTTACCTTTTAGTGCATTACAAACATGTTTTTCTGTTGCAGTTCGAAAAGAAAACGAAGAATTTATGAACTCTCTGCACAGAGAACCAGGGCATCATAACTTCCACAATTTATCTCCTCCAATCTATAAGTAATAACGATATACCTCTAAAATAAGAGCATGCGATATATTAAGTGTACCCTCAAATTTGATATGTTTGTTATACCTGTACATAAACTAAGCGTCCAAATCATTGTTCTGTTTTATATTTTAACCAGATATTGTTCCGACTATTTTCAGAGTTTAAATAAAACCTTTGAATGTTATACGTTTATTCCAGAAATCCTTTCTAGGAAGAAATTGCAAACGTACCATTTGAAAGTTCATAAAATATACACAATTTAATTTGCAAAACTGCTCGGTTCGCTTTTATTGTCTCGTTGAAATTCCATATAGTCAGACCAAATAATTAACTTACCATTATGAATAATTGAGATCTGAACTCAAATATAATTCGAGAAGAGGGCTTGCGGCGATGATAAAGACGTAACGGAAAAGTGGTTATGAATTCTCACTCCGTATATAGTAAAACATTCATTGCATTCACAAATAATTGTGATTACTCTTGTATTCAGCCACTTCTCTGTAACTTGGTCTACTGCTACGAAAAAAACATCAATTCGAAAGCTCCTGTGCTAAGCCCCTCTCAGTAAAGGTTGAAATTAGCTTGTATAAAAAGAACTTTCAAAGCATGGAATCTCACAGGTTCACTTTTTTCGGACCCTAAAGTCTAAACGATCCAAAAAGTAAGACCCCTGTATATGTTACTGACTCATCTGCTCCGATGACGCACCTAAACCTGTTAATTAACTTCTATTAACAAATGGTCAGTAAATAAATTGAAATGAATTAAATCCACTCCTCCCGACCAATGAATTTACATTTACAGATAATCAGCCCTGTAATGTATCACTAACATTAAACTTAACGTGCAGGTTATCATTTTCGCTATACTAAATATCGCAAAATAAAGTTTTTTGGCAAATAACCTGCACGTTAAGTTTAACGTTTCTGATACATTAGTCCGGGAAATAGAGACTGAAAATGGACCATTTCCTGCAAAACCAGAAGTAGTACCAATTTTTTTTGTATGTCATGGAGGAATGATGGTTAAGAATCCAAGTTTTCGACCTCTTGTGCTCCGTACCACCCCTAAAACCAAAGAAAATTGATTGGTTTTTTTAGTTTTTCAAATATATCTTTTTATAGGTTCACTTTACAAAAAAAATATTGTTATTAGGAACTATAGACCATCAAATTTTACACAAATTTGGTATATACTTCTTTTTCGTAAATTTTTTATTTCAAAAGATACAGAGCTTCAAACTTGTCTTATTTTGATGTTCCAAAATTTCTATGTATGTATTTACCTACATACTTTATCGAAATTGTATGTTATCTCTATATAATCATAAGATTCATATGAGAATTATAAAGTTATGGTGCTATTAATTTCCGTACTCTGCACCCATATCAAAGGGGATGATAGCACTTCAACCCCTTGGTCGTAGTAGGTATATGCATCACTATGTGATTATATGACGCTTTCGAATACAATTATCAAATAAGAAAAGTGGTCTTACTTCATTTTAACGCTTTCCATCCGCTACAAAAAGAGATGATTATTTGATGATTATTTCAACCGCCCTATAGTACTGATTGTTCAACTATCCGAGATTATATCGCTTTCGAACATTTACAAATCATTATTTTATATGAACATGAATAGTAAATGTCTTTAGCGCCTTTTTGAAAAAAAGTAGCGCTTACAGAACAACAGAAGATTAAACCGATTTATAAACTTTGTCGCCCGCGTTCGCGCTGCCAGTTCGTAGTTCACCGAAGATATTGACCAATGGAAAACACAGTTTGAGTTTGACACTATTTGCACGTCAAATGGGTAGGTACTCTTTTTCCATTAGTCAATATCTTCGGTAAACTACGAACTGCCAGCGCGAACGCTGGCGACAAAGTTTATAAATCGGCCCTAAAGCATACGATTGTAGATCGTCATCAGGTGCTCTGTGATCGGCATTCTATCCTGGCGAGCATTAAGTATATAGTTTTTCTAAGGCACATAACAAATTCCACAGAATTAATTAACACATTTTTAATTAGCACCTGATGTAATTCTGGGTACTAATAGAAAAATTTAACTTGAGAACTCTTATCTGGGTCGTAATTTGAGCTCCATTATTAATCACACATTAATAACACAAATTTATTTAACATAACACAATCAAACTGAAAGAAAAACAGGCACTCAAGACCAAAATAACGCATACCACGCAACAAGTGATCGATAGAGATAAAGAAGTCTTGATAACTGTCAATAAATCAAAATCTACGGGCGTCACTGCGATTTTCAAACAAACAGACGCACAAACAGAAAGCAAATCATGAACCTTCGTAAGCTCACTTCTTTGATTGCACTCAAATTTTGATTTAAAAGACACTGACATCGTTGGAATCACAATTATAGTATTGACCCTTTGATGGTGGAAAAAAACTCTCTTTAACTGGTGTTGCGTAGGCAAACTAAATAAAATATCATTTCGTTTTTCCTTTAATGAAAACACCCTGTACAAATGGTACTGGGGAACTTCTTCGAAAAACGTAAATCACACTTCCGCTCAACTCATATGATGACGTTCACTTTTAACACGATGACTTCAATCTTTTAATACTCGTAGCGCTCAACTATCTTTGTTACTAACGCGACAACTGGCAAAAATGACTGTTTTTCAAAAAACTTCGATAAGATCAAAACTAACTGTTTTGCAACAAAGTCTCTCAAATACAACTGCGTTCTAACGTCCAAAAAAAGAGCCAACACCAACGCTTGGCCAACAAATGGCGTCGTTTAACGTCCGGTTCGTTTATTTAAAACTTTTCCTCACTTCCGTTCCTCCTACAAAAAAAAAATAATGCGCGATGGCAAATCATACTGCATTTGTGTGTTCGTCGTTATCTTATCTGGAAAGTAATTAACTTTACAGCGATAAGAAAACTTCTTATCTACGACCGGAGAAAAAAATGAACTGTTACAAATAGTACGAAAATAATTTTCTAATATTTAAATCTAGTATTTTACCACGTAATTTAAATTTACAATTACCAAAACAAAATAAACAAAACAATTATTTAAGCAAAATCAAACATTGACCTCGAAATCAAATAATATGACCGACATTGCGTTTAATCTCTATTAAACAAGCACATTAAAAGTTAACAATAAATGAAATTCGCATAATTACAGGGTGATCCTTCGTTATTTCAATGAACTCAAATAAAACGTCCGCATGGTGTAGACTCACTCGCTGAATAAGAGCCTTTTTTGCAACGTTTAGACAACAGGAACATTAAAATGTACGGATTCTATCTTTTTGTAAAAGTATGAGAAAAAGGTCAGGACCAATGCCACGACAGCGCCAGGAAAGTACGTAGGCTAATTTTATTGTAAGTTACCATTTAACTGAAATTTAAGTTTTTTATTTGCAATCTACAAAGGCGTATAGCACGAAGCCACCAGCTGGTGAATTGCACGGTTTTGTTCTAGTGTTTAATTTAAAAAAAATAAAATTAATTTGTGAATCAATGAATCGCCTATTGAACAAAGATTCCAACCTACCCTCCACGTAGTAGTATTCACTGCTGCTCGTAAAAATATACGAATAATTCAAAATTTCCACGATTTTCATTGACTATAGTGGCGATTTCGCATTTCTATAACTTATATCAAATGCAAAGTTACCCAAAAAATATGCCTGTTTTCCTAATTGTTATTTTTTCCAAATAACGGTAACCAAACAAGACACAACATTCTCTATGTGAATCAAGACGATGTGTTTGCAGTTTCTGACTTACCTACCTACTTCTAAAATTGTGAAAATGAAATAGACAAGACAATTGTTGAACCTACACGTAAGTGCGTACTATGTGTACCACCCCTCTCTCAATAATTAGAACAATCCAGGTCACATAAGATGCTTTCGAAGTTTTCCGAAAAGTTGACTTGAACTTCCATTCGTACCCTTCACGTAGCTTCTGCACTTCAAAGGATAATCTTGAATAGGATATAAATTACATCCCTTATTGTATTGGTGGCAATTCCTAGGCGCAATATTTGCTTTGTTGTACGCCAACAATAGATAAATCTGACTCCATTTAATACTTGCGCAAATACGACGCCTAAATACGCGCAAATCAATACCTCTATGGTTACATGTTCAGTATAAAGTATCGTTCTGGCGTTCTTATACACAGCTTTCGTTTCGTTGATATTTAATGACCTACTTTAGTTTACCTAAGTAGTACAATTTAAGTACTATTTGTGTCATTTTTGTTATTTATATGTTTCTTGAAGCAAAATGACTAAACCAGATATAGGATTAGGATATTTTTATCATTTGCCTTCGACAGGTTGGACTTTAAAAATTAGAAACAGCCTGTCACAGTTTAGTGACTTATTCAGTGAATTCAATAAATATATAGCACCGGCTTATCATCATGATAGATGCGAAAGGTATGGCATGTTTATGGATGACCATTCTGCCTGAATACAGTAACGCCTTTTTCAGATCTGTTCAAATGCGTCTCTATTCAATGCATAAAAGGGAGTTCGTAATGATATTCATTGCGTTTCTTGGATGCTTTGGATTAGCTACTTTTATTGGTTTAGCAGGTATGCTTTGTGGGTTTTTTCAGTAGGTGGTGGTTCTTTCATCTGAGTACTTATATATTATGTACTTGAAACAACTGCTAAATCATCTACTGAACGAATCTTATACATAAGAGACACTTTAAACTCTAAACTATCATCTCCATATGTGCCATCACTTGATTCTTTACTCGAACAGATGCTGATTGCTATGCTTCTAATCTAACCAAATTCAATCTAAAAGCCCAGCTAATTTTCAATGTTTTCAGGACCTCCCATAACCAGTGCCACAGAAGTGGATGGAAAATCTCTACTTCCGAAGGATAACCAAACAGGTTCAGGATCTATAGCTACAGGACCCTTCATTATGCGTACACCTACAATGAGCACGTACAGTCAACAACTCTGGGTTATATGTAAATTAGCAACTGATAATAATGACGGTACGTTGATGCTGAAATTTAAGTATTACTGCATCAAATATGTATTTTAGATGAAATATTTGATAAGAGTTTTCAAGTTAGTGTAACAGTCGAGGGTCTGACAGATGAACATAAACCCATTAGTATTAACCATAACCACATCACCAGGAATAGGTGAGAAATCTGAATAAATTGCATACCTACATTTTTCGAATTACAGGACCCGCCATTTAAGGTGCATAAATCAAGAGTGTGACGAATTTATCGTGGTTCATTTGGGATATTTAGAATACGCGCATTACATTATTACAGTAAGATTTTCTGAGTTGGAATCCTTTCATCAAAGGTACAACATCAAGGAACTTAGCTTCTATGTAAGCATCAGCAATATAATGCCCCCAGTTTTTTACCTGTTCCTTTACAGTTTAAGACTTACAACCCTGCGTTTACGCAAATTGAAATATGGTTTCGTTTTATATTTTTAATATCCACATTTATAATCGCAGTAAGTTTAGGTGAACTACCTCCGCCTGCACTACCTGAATGTGATTTCAGTGCTGGTTTTCCCACACACTCCGAAAGTACATTATGTTTGACTGGTCCATTGAACAAAAGTGGTTATCGATATTGCTTCCAATGCTGATACTGTACAATGGTAAGTTTGGACCCAGCAATCTGTAGATAACTTTGAACTTATACAGATCCCATATTTCCCATGATTTTTCTCGTCAATTCGTGGATACCTGGAATGCTGGATGCAATTGGTCAGACAACTTTTTTGTGTTGCTTGCTGTTGTTCTGGTTGTGTGTCTACCACGGAATACGACAAGTGCGTAATTGTGTACTTAAGCGACGACAGTTGAATCATTCACCTTTCAGAATGAAAGAAGATTTTTAAGCTTTTACTTTCCAAAGCTGTTTATAGTCGGCATGCTTTGGCTTCCTCCAATTATAATGGCAACCTGGGAAAAATGTAACGAACTGCATGATCCGACGTACAACCATACAGTGGACGCACATAATTATTACGTAATGCGTGTTTTCTGTCGCTCATAGAAATAACAGTCAACTTTCAGAACTTGAAGGTTTTCTTCTTTGCTGCAGGTGGAATTTATTTGGTATATTTACTTATGTTGCTTTTAAAAGCGTACACAGAATTACGTTCCATGCCATTTTTCGGTACCTTAGCGTCCAACTAAGAATGCAATTTAGATTAAAATCTACTCATTTTAGATAAGAGATTAAAGTTCCTTACCATATTGATGTTATTCGTCCTCATTATTACATTTATCATTACCGGTCTTAGATTTGGAGTGGGAATTTTGGAAGACAATTTCGTAGCATTACTTTCGACTCACTACAGTAGTTCAGCACATTTTATGTCGTTTTACGGTTTACTTAATATTTATGTGTACACGATGGCGTATGTATACTCGCCTGGTAATGGAGAAACGTATGGTAAGTACTTCTATCAAGTGTATAGTAATTCAAGTTTTTGTCTTAGAAGCAGCTTTAACGAAAGATAATCCTTCATTTTCTATGATCAATGATTCCGATGAAGATGTCATTTTTGGATCTGATGATGAAAGCAGAAAACCGTTAAATAGAAGCCGAAATGATGATAGTGATTAAGAGCATGTGTGCCGCATTAGATATACTTATGATTGTGTATTATTAAACCAATGTTGTTACAATAATTTTCAAATCGGCACCTGAAACCGGCTAGTACAGAACTTTATAATAATGCATATATTTTATATGGTAACTTTCATATTTATTTATTACAAAGTATTAGTTTTATTGGTTTGTCCATTTTGATCATTATGCATTTATGTGGCCAATCGTAGCTGCGGGGATTCCACCGGACAAATTTGGCTTTTAGTGGATAAAGTTCTCCTCGAGAGGATTTACCGAAATTGAGAAAAGAGTCCCCTTTTTGGTCATTAGTAAGTGAACTCTATGAACATAAGGGCGAGAATGGATTAGATTGTATAACTGAGTATATTTATATAAATATTATTTGCAATATTGCATTTTATACATTAAAATGTTTTTATTGTAGGTATCTAGGTTTCCGTGACGAACAAAAGGTGGCAGGATTGTGTAAAAAGACAATTTCTTGATTTTTTGAAAATGTTTCTTAGTCTCCAAATATTTTTAATTTCAAATAACACACAAAAAACGTGAAAACACATGCGAATAAAACACATAAGTCATATAATATATACATAAATATTACAGGTAACCAAGAAACGACAATTCTGCCATCCCTGTACATATAGGGTAAGCGGTGGTGTAGCGTATGGGGGAGGGGGCGGTCTGCCCTGGCCGCCACTTTAGTAGGGGCGACAGCATCATACCTGCCAATAATATCCCGGGGCGCTTTTGAAAATACTAAAAGTAGGAAACGATAAAAAAAATCTTGTAAAAATCCATTTAAATTTTTATTTCGTACGCAACGACGACCATCGACGGCCTTGAAGATGCTTTATCTGACAAAAACTGAGACGAAAATACATGGATGACGAAGAGATTTCTGGTGTACATACAAAGGTTTAAATACTGATGTTCTCAATATACTCCAATCTTTTAAACAATGTCTATCAAGCAATTCAAATATCATTTTTATATTGTCTTTGAAATTCTTGCGTTTCTAGGCTCAACTTCAGAAAGCAGTGTTGGGTTTGAGTACGTATATATCCTCTTTACCGCATTATAAAAAAATTCAAAAAAATACGCTGTTTCCTGCCTGTCTTTATTGTAGTGTGTGTTATTTATCTGTTACATGGATCATCTAGGTATCAAACGTAACAGTTTTAATTTTCTTTGCGTATCAGTTCAACTGATCCCGACTAGGTTATTGCGTACCGAGTCCAGTTACAGGCCGCTTTTGCTCCTCCAACAGTCTTACATAAATAATAATATGCTGTGGCTACTAGCACTGGGTGATTTCAGGTTTGAATAATCGATAAATCAATTACTGAATCCATACTCTGTGATTTAAACACGAAAACTTATCATATGAATCAAATTTCATTTTCACATCCCGATAAAAATATTACCTAGATGTTTATACCAATGTTAAGGCATTCAGTGTTATTTTACGTCGCTTTAAATTGGCATGATACTACTTCCAAAAATTTTGCATTCTCTTTCTAAATATAAAAAAAAACACCCTGTATAGATATATCAGTTTCAATGATATCCATATATATATACTGTAACTTTTGATCTAGTAGCCCGATCTTGGAACTGTTTGAAATTATGGATTCTACAGGCCACATTCTATAAGAAAATGTTTTTTCCCGGTCGATCTGAGACAATTTTTTTTTCGGGGCTCAAAAAAAGGCAGTGTATAACCTTCCTTTTTTACCAAAAATCGACTGCACCAAAATTTCTCGGGAAAACACTTTTTCTTATTAATTTTGGTGCGTAGAATCCAAAACAATTCGTACTTTTTCGATCAGACTTCTCAATCAAAGTTATAGACTAGAAACCAATTTCGAAAGAAAATTCAAAGGGCTGTAACTTTTGAACTAGTAGCCCAATCTTGGAACTGTTTGAAATTATGGATTCTACAGGCCACATTCTATAAGAAAATTTTTTTCCGGGTCGATCTGAGACAATTTTTTTTTCGGGGCTCAAAAAAAGGCAGTGTATAACCTTCCTTTTTTACCAAAAATCGACTGCACCAAAATTTCTCGGGAAAACACTTTTTCTTATTAATTTTGGTGCGTAGAATCCAAAACAATTCGTACTTTTTCGATCAGACTTCTCAATCAAAGGTTATAACTAGAAACCAATTTCGAAAGAAAATTCAAAGGGCTGTAACTTTTGAACTAGTAGCCCAATCTTGGAACTGTTTGAAATTATGGGTTCTACAGGGCACATTCTATAAGAAACTTTTTTTCCCGGTCGATATGATGCAATTTTTTTTTCGTGGCTCAAAAAAAAGCAGTGTATAACCTTCCTTTTTTTTACCAAAAATCGACTATACCAAAATTTCTCGGGAAAACACTTTTTCTTATTAATTTTGAGGAGTGGAATCCAAAACAATTCGTACTTTTTCGATTAGACTTCTCAATCAAAAGTTATAGACTAGAAACAAATTTCGAAAGAAAATTCAAAGGGCTGTAACTTTTGAACTAGTAGCCCAATCTTCGAACTGTTTGAAATTATGCATTCTACAGGGCACATTCTATAAGAAAATTTTTTTTCCCGGTCGATATGATGCAATTTTTTTTCGGGGCTCAAAAAAAAGCAGTGTATAACCTTCCTTTTTTTTTACCAAAAATCGACTATACCAAAATTTCTCGGGAAAACACTTTTTCTTATTAATTTTGGGGAGTGGAATCCAAAACAATTCGTACTTTTTCGATCAGACTTCTCAATCAAAAGTTATAGACTAGAAACCAATTTCGAAAGAAAATTCAAAGGGCTGTAACTTTTGAACTAGTAGCCCAATCTTGGAACTGTTTGAAATTATGGATTCTACAGGCCACATTCTATAAGAAACATTTTTTCCGGGTCGATCCGAGAGAATTTTTTTTTCGGGGCTCAAAAAAAGACAGTGTATAACCTTCCTTTTTTACCAAAAATCGACTGCACCAAAATTTCTCGGGAAAACACTTTTTCTTATTAATTTTGGTGCGTAGAATCCAAAATAATTCGTACTTTTTCGATCAGACTTCTCAATCAAAGGTTATGGACTAGAAACCAATTTCGAAAGAAAATTCAAAGGGCTGTAACTTTTGAACTAGTAGCCCAATCTTAGAACTGTTTGGAATTATGGATTCTACAGGCCACATTCTATAAGAAAATTTTTTTTCCGGGTCGATCTGAATCAATTTTTTTCTGGGCCTCAAAAAAAGGCAGTGTGTAACCTTCCTTTTTTACCAAAAATCGACTGCACCAAAATTTCTCGGGAAAACACTTTTTCTTATTAATTTTGGTGCGTAGAATCCAAAACAATTCGTACTTTTTCGATCAGACTTCTCAACCAAAGGTTATAAACTAGAAACCAATTTCGAAAGAAAATTCAAAGGGCTGTAACTTTTGAACTAGTAGCCCAATCTTGGAACTGTTTAAAATTATGGATTCTACAGGCCACATTCTATAAGAAAAATTTTTTCTGGGTCGATATGAGAGAATTTTTTTTTCGGGGCTCAAAAAAAGTTATAGACTAGAAACCAATTTCGAAAGAAAGTTCAAAGGGCTGTATATACTTCTCTTATATATATGGATATAACCATAGTGTAAGAATAACCAAGAAAGGTCACCTGAATTTACTTATGACCGCACTTGCGCTTAAGGCAAGTTCCCCGGAAATAATGTTAGTTTAGAAACAAATTGTGGCTTATCAACTTAACAACAGTACCTATACTTAGGTGGGTACAACCGATCTACTGTTTTGATAATGAAGGAGGATTAACAAATTGTTAGTTTAGTATAGTGTTAATAAAAGGCGATTTCATTTCATTTTCTTTCAGTTTTAATCTAAAACAAACAATACATATAGTTTATATGTTTCATGGTCATTGAAACATCGCACAATTGTAACATTCTAGGTAGAAATTTTTACAAAAATGTAGTATTCCATTTGACTTAATTAGCAAATACATTAAATTGCAACAACTTGCAGTTGTTAAACAATATGCTACCATTTTATTTAATTACTTTCAAAATTTACAGCAGTTTTTTTGTAGTGTACTCAATTTCTTACTACTTTTTCTTGTACTCTGCCCAGCTCTGGTTAATAAACAAATTTGAACGTTTTGTTTAATTTCCAAAATCAATTTAAACATATGCTATAAAAAACGAAATACTGAGGAAATAATTACTTTTTAAGTAACAAAACAAGGAGACTAGAAAAAAATACTTATTTGGATATTTGGTAACATACATGTTGCATTTAATGGCAGTAATAATGGTATTTGGTAATGTAACCGTATGACTGTTATGATGCTGGCAGTGATCAAAATTCTACAGTCTTTCAAGTAAAAGTTTATAGTGTGACCCTTATAGTATGGACAGAAGGCAACACACTCAGACTTAAATGTTTCAGAAAAAAATACAAAAATATCTAGTACTTAGAATAAATGTTCTTCGAACAACTAATTAATGGTAACTCGAATAACTTATCAAAATTATGTTAATACAGGTAAACTGAGCTTAGATACTAAGTAATCCGTTTATCGCACATTTAAAATTATACCTATTTGGACATCCAAACTACAAAATAAAATATATTTTGCGACCAAACACTAATCCTATTTCTTGAACACCATGTTAACATCAAGTGTACACACAGAACGTTAATAAAAAGATAAAGCGTTATATTAGACATCCCCATAGATATATGGATTTAATGCGTATACATTACATGTATAAATGAATCTGCATATTTCAATTATCTTTCTAAAAGACAATGTTACAAAATTATATCTTACCTTTCATAAGAATTGACATAATGCAGAATAGCGAGTTTAACTCAAACACAGTCCATATTTACATGTAACAATTAACTTCCATCTACATTTTAAAAAATAAGCAACAATTATCACACACCACTATTGAAATATAACGCAATTACATATTCATAAATGTACATTTTGTAGTCATTTTCAATGCAAAATTTGTACTAAGGCACATAAAAATCTAAACGCTACCCTATTCTATAGGTATATGCAACTATCTACAGAATAAAAAATTAATCGATATGTGCACACCTTGTATTTTGCAAAAATTGGCAGTGTGGCTAAAGGAAATTATAAAATGTGATATGTTTAAAATTAAGATTCTTATGCAACATACTTATGGTCCCATAAATCAGTATAAATCCGCGTAACTCAAAAATGCAAATTTGGGTCGCTTAAAAATATTTCCTAGTTTAAGGATTTATACTTAGCATGTGTGTATTTAGACAAGCGATTGAATGCTCTTAGTATATAAAAAATGCCACAAGTGAGATACGCAATAATCCAATTTAGGTAAGATAGAAGGTACACACATAATAATATAATAAAAATCAACATAATAAAAAAATTATATTAACTTGGAATATTCTCTTATAAAACATATAAATGTCAATTCAACAACTATACAATACTTTTCCGTGTGTCGGAGCTAATTTTAAGAATTTGAAGTTTTTCATCACAGTAGAATTTAGGTGTACTTATAAAAATCAGATCATCTATAGTTTACCTGCATTAATGTTTTCTAAATTTTGATAAGTTACAACAAAAGGTAACTTAAGAAACGTTATACTTACAGTGTTATTTCTGTATTTGCATATAAACACACAAACACATACATACTTAACCGACTTTTAGCACTATCCCCAACAATTTTTGTAGTTGCAAAATAATACAGAGGGCATTTCTGTACAAATGCTTATAATTGCAAAGCATGCAGTACATATAACACTTACATACGGTACCTATTATATAATATGTTATTGTTTCATTATCAGTTCCAGAGATCTTAACATTAAGATTGTTCAAATTACGCTTTATTAAAGTAAGTACGTATTTATTGAACAAATTAAACATTTCTAATCGGTATAGGTTGAATACAAAGCATTTAAATACATCGCTGCATTATTATTATTCAGAATTTATTGTTAATGCATGAATTGGAAGTGGATGAAATGAATAAAGTAACACCCATCATACTTGGTTAAAAATTCTAGATCGTTAAGAAACTTGAATCACATTTATTACATTTTTCTACACCTATACATTACCAGAAATAAGTAGGTATTTTTTTAAAAATTTCCGAAAACATTCAACATGTATTACATAAAAAATTAAAGCACACAAAGTGCTTTACCATCAAAATTTGTGCGGTAATAGAGATCACTTATTGCAGTTGATTTTTTAACTGCTCGTGTAAAAGTGGAATGAGGCACTTTAATAGTGAGTTTTCAATACTGGAACATTCTAAAACACACAACTTTTATTAAAGTAAATGTCTATCTGGCCAACCCAACACTGAACTCGATCTATAGGTAGGTACATATATAACAACAAAATTGACACATTGTAATAGAATAAAACATTGGCAATACCTACTTATTCCATTATTTTAATTGTAGTAAATGTTGAACACTAGCAGTGGATAAACCAATAACAACTATCAAAAAATACAATATAACGATTAGCCACAGCTAAGATTGTACAATGGTGCACTTTAACAAAAATTGATAAAAATTCAACATTAAATATAGTTTTCTAAATTTTTTAAGTTTAAACCTTACGCAGGTACTGGCAATTTCATTTGGTTCAGATTTTAGTTGGTATAAGTAGTGTAGGTACCTAAGTTTGTAAGTATCACGAAATTCGAGACGAGTGATAATGATTACATATATTGTCGAAATTTAGCCTTATCATTATTAATGCATGCCGATGTTATATTTTATCATTCTCTACTTTTGAAACGAAACTGCGATCAATTTTAAATACAAATAAATGAGTGCTAGAAGTCAAGGTTTATATACACATACACAAATATACTGCGAGGTCACTCTTCATCTAAAATTGTTCACATGCACATTAAATGGAAATAAAATTGCAACAATCAATAGCAAAAAGACATACCCCGCTTATGCGGTTTTGAATGTGTTGTAATCTTCTATTAAAGATGAAAGTGACCGCACGATATACAAATTTTAGTTTCGACAGAAATAAGCGGCCAAACCAATTTTTATACAGCTATCACTTGATTGTTTTATACTGTTTATGGCCCGTTTACAATCAGTGGTTGCCTATATTTGGCGAATAATTACAGGCAATAGTATCTTGGAAATTATGCCTATAATAGAGTTATGAGTGTAAAGTCGCCTTAAAATAAGTCAGGAAAAAGGAGGCAAAATAATTTGTCTGGCCACTTACTTATTACCAAATAATTGTACAAATTTTAATAATAGAAGTTCAAGTAAGACTATTTACAATAATTACACGTTTTTGACTACATTTTTCATACTATCTTTGAACTGTTGAATTAAGTAGAAAAGGAACATAGAACATTTTGCTTTCCAAAAGGAGGGCTGCAGCAGACTGAACCTAAAATATATTATTTTGAGAATTAGTTACAAACCAACATATTAGTATGCCTACTGCAAATTTATTACAAGGTAAGTATAATAACACGATTGAAAATACAAAGTGTAAAAACAAACATACCTATCAATTTAGTATATCAAAATCAATAAAGAAATTACAAATCATTCCACCAGGAAGCTTCGTACAAGAAAAGCTGAAAACGGAGCAGAGGCATTGTTAGTGCAAAAATTGATTTTTTATTCTGAGTAATTTGAATAATCTACAATGGCAACCCTTAGCAATCCTAAGATTTCGTTGAAAAAGATCCATAATCCTACATTGTGTGTACTATCACTATAATTTCATTCATCACTCGCATAGGGAATTATAAACAATATTGTAAAAGATAACTGCAAAGCCCATTCAAAAATAATCTTTCACCAATCCAAAATAATGTTCTGGTTACAGCCCTGAATCGTACAAAATTTAGTTTACCAACAAACACAAGTAACATTATAAAAAGAAGATCGTTTGCAGAATGTGCTGAATCTTCTTCATTTTGCTAACGTAGAGATAAAATGATCGATCAGAAATAAACAATAATTTCCCTCTTCCATATCTGATCGTAAAAGGGAGTTACTCGAAATGGAATGAATTAATTCATTGAATAAAAACACTATAAGAAGCCTAACGCTTATGGAAGAAAGCGCGACAAATCCCCTTGCACCCGCATTGGTTGTGATCGACGAACTCTCTTTGCGGTAAATAGGAGGAAAGCAAATTCTCATTCTTCTCAGTTCAAGAATCGACACTATTGACAGTGTTTCCATTATATTCTCAGTTCAATCTCTGTCGCGCTTTATTTCCACGGGGTTAGGCTTCTTATAGTGTTTTTATTCAATGATTAATTGTAGTCTAGTTGACTAATGAAAACACCAAACCTTCCTTAATTTAGTACCTACTATGTAATTCAACAGTCAAGACATCTTGCAAAAACTAATCTATTATATCATTGTGAATACGTTTTACGCAACTAATTTTTCCTCATGGTTTTTGTAATTAGTTAAATGTAAATGTAACTTCAACGTTCAACGATATAACTTACTTTTGTAAATCCTCCAGAAGTACCTACAGAATCAAAACTAGTCGCTCAAATTTTAAACAATAAACAAAACATGGGGAAGGTTTAATGTTTTCATTAGTGAACTGGTACTGATAGTACCTGAGTATGATGGTTTTGATAAAAACGCAAAATTAAAATATTTTGGTAGAAGCAAAGATTAGGAAAAGGTGGAACGCATGGAATATTACCTCTGGTAACCTAATAAGTAATTCTTGAAATCTTGATGGTTGCTCCGGATATATATGTTGAGTATAAACACGTAAACAGGTCATATATCGTTCCTGGATATTTTCTAAATCAGCACCGCTTGCATTCACTCCTGACTTTCCTAAAAAAAATAAAAAATGAAATCAAAGCTTTATTGTTTAGTATAAGACCATGATAAGTTGGAATTGCTAACCTTGATTTAACATTGTTATAACTTTAAGGCACACATATTCTTCCATGCTCAGCTTAATACGTCTAAACATTAAAGTAACATGGGTAATTTTTTCAACCATTAAACCAACATCTTGCTGAAGTTGATCCATTGTTATCGACCTGCCCATCATGGAGGTTAAACAGCTTTGAAGAGTGCAGAGGTTGTTGCTGACCTATAGAAAGTATAACAAAAATTACTCAAAAAAAAAGAATGAAGTATGTGTCTATTACAAACATGATTATTAAGTAATAATTGCTTAGTTACAATTACCCATTGCACTAATTTAATGTAAGCAGTTGTACACGTGCAAAGAAATTGATGACATATTATTAAAATATTCTGCACAGATGGTTAATTGCTTTATGGATCCATTTCTATGTATGAAATAACATTTTTCAATTTTGCTCATCAATCAAAAGATAAGTATCTAGCGAGTATTGGTAAAATAGCAGTCTTGCATTTGTTAATTACAAGAATTTTTTCGTCCACGCCATAAAGCTACCGTAATATTACGTTGGCTTCGGTTATGCCCCTGGATAGATACCTACTCCCTTCCATACATTTCCGAAAAATTCAGTTGCTTTCAAAATATTCAACCCTCCTCTCCCTAATTAAATTGTTGAAGTTAAGAAATCCTCCTAACGCATACAGGGCCTCAAGGAAACTCGCCCTTGAACAAGCTGATGTACTGCTATATTTAACTTGAGAATAAATGTACTTGAACGGGAAACCTAGACGGGAATTTACCGTAGAGCGCAAAATTCCTGAAGGAATTAATTTGAGTAAAACAGCCGACTTTTCTTAGGTGCGAATATTTATAAGTATTTTTCACAAACGAATATCATAAAGCTGAATTTTTTCTACGTATGAAGGTGAGTGAGCCACCACCACGCATTTTTCCATCATATTGAGGAATATTATTTAAAAGATATAATTTTCGTTCGTATGACAAATTGAGTAAAAAGGTCTTCTTTCACAGCTGTAGAATCGAACTAATTGTTTCCCCTTCAACTCACAAAGCAATATTTTAATTTTGAACCGTTGCACACTACTGCCTAATCCGCGTCATTCGATGTTTAGGCTTGAGAACCAGTCTTAACAACATTTTTTTAACACATTTAATGCCTTCTATTTCTGTAATGTCAGTTAAATACTTACTTGATACGTGCGGATAGATCAGATTGACTGATTGACACACAATCACAAAATAATAAGCAATATAAGACGTCATGTGTAATCGTCACCTTATTTGCTAGATCATGGAGGTAAGTTTGTCAGTTTTCCTTTCGAAATTGGTTAATTTGTGCGTAACTAATATAACGAACAAAATTTGAAATCTAGCAACTTAAACTGGAACCCCCAAAAATTTGGAAAACGTATTTAGACTCGAAGATTTTTTGCTACCTTATTGGTACCAACTTATTCTCTATTGTTTAATGAACTTAATAAACTTTCGAATTAATTGCTGTGATAAATTGTGTATTTATACTTGGAGGTCCAGCTTTTTACATCGGTAACGTGCAATAAATAAATTAATTGGTTTTAGTGATAAAATATTCATTACCTGCTAAATTGTTAATGTGGAATTAATTGCCGCATTTATAACTTGTTAGTTAAATGAAAACTTGGGGTACCAGTTACTTGCAAATAGAGCAATTAGTTTCAACGTTTAAGCAATTTAGTCAGGAATTAATTCAAAGAGTGGCTTAGCTAAATATTGTATAATGTACTATATAATCAAATAAAAAAAAGGTTGTGGTACATCAATATAATCAGGTAAAAAATGCAAAAAATTTACTGTAAGATATACAGGGTGGCGCATTAAAAAAATTCCAACTTTGGATCAAATCTCATAAACGGTTTTTGACAACGCCACTGGATTCTACGTAAAAATATCTAAAATATTCAGTTTTTACCTTTTTCTATCTGACATGGGAGTAAGATTTCATAACGTTCCAAAAAGTCAAACTTCTCGCTTGCACCCTGTATCTCAGAAAACAAACGTAGCTAGATTGATTCTGTTTGTAGCATTAAAAGTTTCATAAAAAAAAGTGGCAGCTGGCAGGGTCGCGAAAACCACAAGTCTCTATCTTTAAAGACAGCCGACATAAACTGCAGTCTCATCCAAAATAGGACCCACGGTACAAAAGTAGTAAGATGTGCAAAAAAAAGAGAATTCCGCACTTTATGGAAAAGTTCTAGAATTGTTATAGCAGATATTGTATACCTACCATATTTAAATTCATAAATGGAGGCAAGTTCAATTTGTTTGGCCTCTGAGGTTAGCAAGAGCCCGTTCTCGTAGAACTGTACGCTCTATCGTATCTATACATTGAATAAGCACTTCTTATTCAATGCTCTATATAATAAACGTATTATGAAACAGTTCTGGAACCACTTCCACAAAGACCCCGATACACCACGGATATTTACGTACGTTTTTGTATTTAACAGGGTCCATGAATTCGCCTTTATTATCTGCGTGAAACCAGAAAAAAGCACCAAGCAAATCACCAAACTCAATAATTATTGAATAATGACACGTATCGTAAGCGTAACAGGTCGGAGGGAATGATTGAATGCTTGAGGCAATGTTTTAAAGTCAAGTCGCGGGTAGATTTGATTGGACACGGAGGAATATACATTTCTTTGTTACTGTCTACATAATGCCAGTTACTGATGCTTATCAATGATTAGTTAATACTTATTATAATTCTGTTACTGGCCAAAATGAATGCTTGTAATGCCAACAAAGTGTACCTACACTAAATGCCAGTAATGGATGACCCTGTCTGTGTCGTTCAAACTGCTCTTTCAATTTGTAAGAAATTTATATCCTGTATTTTGTGACGATTTGCTAATTTCCAAAGCGAGGGGCAGTGAAAAAAGCGAATTATAGAGCCCGCAAACTGGTACCTACAACTGTAACATTGCGTCTTATGGAGCCGTTCACACACGCATACTTCTCGCATCCACCATCGGCGACAAAATTTCGGTCTCTCGCTAGTCCCAGTCGCAAAGCGATTTTACGATTTTGGGGGACTGATGGGCTGATGGGTTCATATGGAACAGTTTACACGAGGATACTTTTTCATTAGCACGCCGCGCCGCGCTACTGCACTAAAAATACTTCGCCGAAAAAGTACCCCACTGCGAAAGAGCAGTTTAGACCAAAGTCTGCGAAGTGTATTTGACATGAATTCTGACGACGTAATGTATCTCGGATACACTAGCATACAATATCACCGTGTAAAAGCGGTCCTACGTGTTCAATAACGGACGGAAAATTCGCTATCGGTCATTCGCGTGAATGCCTAACAGTGTAGCACAGCCCAAGTTGTCTTTTTATTGAAATTGTATATACTGAAATTGATAGACATGTTTTATTCAGAACAAAACGAACAAGATTTTCAAAAATGTTGATAAACTCGCGGATCAACCATCTAGTGCATTTTTCATTACTCCAGTGTGGAATTAGGTGTGCAAAGAAGTGTATACCTCAACACATGAAAAGTGCTCCTTCCAAACAATTAGTGTCATAGAGGAAAAAGAGCAAAGTTAAATGACAAAAGTTACAAACCTCTTCAGTGAAATCTGGCTCAGGAATGCTGGTTAGCTGCTCGACTGATGCTTTACTTTTCGCGTGTATTGCTTGGAACGCCGATGTAGTTAGAACTAATAGTTCATGCCACTTATGCGTTAATAGTCTCGTATGTACTTCCACAGGAAGTTCTAAATAAAAAGGCAACCTTTTGGTCCACTGCACTAGTTTATAAACAATTGAATCACCTATTTGACACAATTTTTCACTTAAGTCCGATTTATGATCTAATAGATCATCTACGTTTTGTAAAGTAGCTATATCTTGAAATTCATCACAGTCTATTAAGGTTTGAATCATCGATAATGTATACTCTATGGAGAAGTTTCTATCTCGAGAACTACTAACTGTACTATCTAATCTTTGTCTTAAATGTACCACTTCACTAGGATTGGTTAATGCTGTCTTCAGTATAGTGCCATTGACTAGGTGCGGTGGGATTGGGGGTTGTTCTAGTTTGAGTTGCGGCGATAATAAAGCTTTCTCGTTCGTCTTCTGCTGCATTTGCTTGTTGGTGGTCTTTTTGTGCTTCTTATATTTAACTTTATACAAGTTATAGACAGCTCCGCTGTTGCGCCCACCCGGCATTCGATCTTCTCTTACAGCTGAAAGGGGTAAAAGATTTATTACTTTCGATTTCGCCACTACCATTGAACAAGTATGCGATAATAAGCAAAAATAACTGTAAATGCAATTAAGATCCACGTATTTAAGAAATGAAAACATAAAATCAGTAGTAAAAACATTTCAAGAGAATACAAACAAAAAAAGATATCCAAGTAGCGTCTAATATAGCAAGTTACTTACTGCATGTTGCGATATTTGTTGAATAATAAAAATTTTACATAATACCCCTTGTGTTCTTTTCATATCTGCAATGGACCTACCTACCTGCTTCCCATACAAAGCCATTTGAATACGTCCATCAATGTTAAAACGCTCTTTGAACCTTCCTAAGTTTTACTCTCCTATATTTTAAAATGTGTTACTCTACAAATACAGCTTATAACATTATATCTGTAGACATTACTAAAATCTTTTTAGTAAACCATCTGAGAATCGCAAAACAAAAAATAGACACAATAAAAGTGAAAAGAACATAATCGCAATATCAGCACTTATCGAACATGCATTAACCAACTTCACTTCTCAATGTAGTTAAATAGTAGAATTATCATTCGAATGCACCAATAAAAAAAATATTATGAAGAAAGGTGAGTTTAAAAAAAAAACAACAAAAGATACTGTTAGATTATTGAATGCCTTAAAGATTTTAATAATGGCTATATCCACAAAAACACCTTTTAAAAACTCCATAATTATATCTTAAAAGTTATATAATAAATACGGCTTACTTCATTACTCACCTTGTAAAACCATCCCTTGTTCAATACACTTTTTAAATCGACAGTACTGGCATCTGTTTCGTTGGGCTTTCGTGATCTCGCAATTCCCATCTGCGACGCAAGTATAAACGCGCCTATTTTGAACGGTTCTCTTAAAAAAACCCTTACATCCTTCACATGTGATGATTCCATAATGCAATCCGGTCGCTTTGTCCTCACAAATCATGCAGATCATTGGCTGTTCGTCATCTTCCAGCGCGTCGAGCCCCGGTTCGACCGTGTATCCGGTTACCTTAACGTCGGTTCGGGGATTTAAATAGATGGGTGGTGTGGAGGTAATGTTTGGCGAGGTTAAGTTCAGCGCCTGTAGCTGTTGATTTGTGGGGAGCTGAGAAAGATCTCCGGCCCAGAGTTTTTCCATATTTAACGGTATGGTAGTAAACTGTCCGGAGAGAGTAGTGGCTGGAGGCCTTAAAACGGTCGTTGTTTTACTTGTTGATACACGGGGGCGCTCTTGTCCTAAATTAAGTAACATTTGCGCGGCAGTTTCTTCGGGATTATTGTTCACTATATTTACAGTACTACCATTATTACTGGTATTCCAGTTAAACGTCGATGCTTGCGCTTGCTCTAACGATTGGGAAACATTGACGGACGGCTGAGACCAGACCATAGTACGTACACCACCAGCTTCCCCCATTATCACAGTTGGTGCTTGGCGAAGTACCACGTTTGAATTTAAACGTTTCCCCGCGCAAGATTTACTTTCGGGAGAATGTCCAAGTATTGCAGTGCTATTGAAATTTCCCCCTATTATTTCCGGTTTAACGCCGTTTATCCTCGAATTCTGTAGCCACAACTGATTCTGTATATTTGTCCCTTGTTGCGTTGATATGATTGCGACGCTGTTATGAGATGGAGATGGTGGTTCGAGAGCTGGACTAGGGTGTAAACTATGAGAGGAACATGTGCTCGAGGTGGACATTAATGAGTCGATTTCTCCTATACTCGGACTACTACTTGTGGGTCTACCCGGCGAACTATGCGGTCTTGGTGGTTGTGAAGGATTATTTAATCGAGCAGATCTTATCGGCGGACTTTGCGATCTACCAGTAGGTGCTGCTCTAATAACGCCTACTCCTCCTCCGTCAAAGACGCTGCAAATTTCAATGTGAGTTGATGCAATACTAGAAGATGATTCCAGGTGATGGATTTGTTTCGGTGTAGAATCTGGACTTGGTGGGTTGATTCCAACATCCGACATCTTGGGGGAAGGAAGACTAGTATGATCAGGTGATGACGTGCTAGTGTCGGCGACCGACTCGCCTAGAAGCGGACAGAGACATTGCCTAAAAGCAGATTGTACTGATATCTATCTAATTAAAATTAACATAAGATTTAATACACCCTTTTAATGATTTTGGCCATTATGCGGAAATGATAAGTTTATGGTTTACAACATAAATATAATGAGATAAATAATTTTCCTAGTGAGGTGATAAATCATAACAATGCAAGTGGAAGGAATTTTGAAAACGCAATGCGATAGGTACCTACGTCCTCGATTTGAATAAATAACGGGAATAAAGTAGCGATGAGCTCTGTTAAGGTCGTTCAACAATAATGAAACTAAAGAGTTTGCCATGAGTCAGATGTTCCATGGCCATTTGGAAATAAATTATTACTTACTTTTTCTTATAATTTGAATACCATTCTAGAACCACAGAACAAACCAAAGAAACAATTAATGACCCAAATCCTACTTGGACGTTTTTGGAAAATGATTGTACCTCGAAAGGAACAACTTAATCATCCCCACACATACAAGCACTTTAACAACTGATAAACTATTTTATACGTTTGGTAAACGATGCTTAATATCACATTAGGTAGGTACAATAAATGCATTCAATTTTAGCCGGGGTTAATCGTTAATAAATAAATATTTAAAATCGTTAACCTTGAGATTGCCTAAAAAGAATTATTTCTGAGTTCGTTTAAATAATCCAGGCATTGAGAAAGCGAAATTATTCAATTCAGAGGTGCCATAGGTGCATTAGTAAATGAGAGAATCTGAAAAAAATATTCTTTAATTACATTCTAACCAATAACTATTGCCGTATTTTAAGTAGAATAGCTAAGGACATTCCAGCGATTATACCAATTAATGGAGAAAGGGCAAGGACAAGGACACGTATTGGTAAATGCATACAAAAAACCTGCTTGTTTGTCCGTAAAAGAATAAGCATTAATAGGCAAGTAGATTTTCCATAACTTTTAAAAGAAATTTGATCACTGAGTAAACCTGTTATTTATGGAAGGTAAAATGAAGTTGTACCAAAAGAAGTATTTGTTACCAGCATCACCAATTAGTATAAAACATTTTATAATTGCATATGGTGTATAGGTAAATATTGTTACCTAAAAGCTGAAAACTTACCGTCACTGCTGCACCTTGAGTCAATTTTCCGCCTTTTGAGTTTTAGATCTTGGAATAGGCTCATTTTGTCGAGCTCATAGGGAGTCCGTATAAGGGTCATAATTCCTGTAACAATAAAATTAAGGGTAAAAACTTGCTCTTATTTTAGTCCATATCTTATCGCTTAAGTGGGCGATAGTTTACTATTCGGTACATCGTAGTATTCTCAAATGATTGTTAGTAAAATTACGTCATGCATCTAAACCTGACGGCGTACATGTAGAAAAATGAAAGTCAAGGGGTATGAATCATAATAATGCGTTTCCCAAAAAAAAATTATTTGCGTATCTTAAGTGCGATACTAAAATCTAGAGTGATTACTCTTAACCTACTTATTAACTATTGATCTAAATTATAACACAATCATTTTACACAATCGTTTAATTTAATAGGTTGTTGATAATGTCTAGTTAACGTACGTAAAATGTCCGAGATACTAACTCGGACATAATAATGTTAGTTTTAGTAACGGAACTTGATTGTAGTTTACAAAATTGAATGAATCACTGAGCATACCTACAATTAATTTCTGAGTTTTCCCCGAATATTTCGATACAGACTTTTTCTTAGACTAATACAGTCACATGACCAATGGCAATTACGATATTCAGTTCTACGTGTACCTATATTATATGCAAGCATCCGAAATCTTGAGTAAATTCGACAGGCAACACGCACAGAAGAAATATGAAGAAAGCGGTTCCTTTGGTGAAACTGTTGGGAATATCTTATTTTGTTTTACCAGAAACTTGAGCTACCTATTGACAAACTTACGTGTCATTCAGATGTCGTATCTTAACTGCGACTTTTTAGATAAGTTCAGTATTGAGTCTAGGTCGAACTGTCAGGTGTGTCTGACTATAATTGAATTAGAGCAGTCCGCCTCTTCCTACTGGGAAACTAAAGTTTTAAACCACAACAGTAATAAGGTTTTGCTTTGGTTTGTAGTTTTGGGCAGCATGAAAAATTCTAAATCATATTACACTTTCCTCACATTTGATTCCACTCACACCTTGCAGGTAAAATTGTATACATTTTATTATTAAACCTCCTTCTGAACTTATGATTCCGATAATAACCTTTTAAGATGCGAACTATTTCTAGATGGAAAGGTTTTAAAATATCATTGAGACTTGAATTGTTGAATTACCTTAACCGGAATTGTTTATGTTATGTTGTTAGACTTTCAACTTCCACAAGATCTTATTTTTATTTCTTTACTATCACGAATATACAAGGAGTAACAAATACGTATGTGCAAAAAATTAGGTGACAGTGAAGACCAAACCTAAGCATTTCTCGCAAATAAGCCGAGAGTCCAGAATGTGTTGTTCCCAGTTTGAGAGAGCCACTACGTTCCCCAAAAAACTGACCATTCTTGTTTATTAGCTTCCTAGCGCGAGGTAGGTGGCTATTGCAATCATCGAATCTCGACGTTTTAGATCATTTTAAGCAACTTTTAAAGAATACAATTTTTTACCGTCTGTATGTATGTGCGTACGTTGGCCATTTTCCGAGGTAACGGCTCGACGGATTTTGTTCAAATTATATATCTAGCAGCTTAGTGCGCGGTTTATATTTAGGATGAGCGATCGCAGAAGTTCGGTCGTTGCATTCTTTTTGGTTTTAATGCAAAGAACTTAAGATAAAATATCAATACCTATGTTAAAATATCAGTGTATATACTGCAGTTTATATGATGATTAATTAATATCACAGATTTACAATCTGCACTAGGCCGCCGATAAAAAAGAAGGTCTTTTACAACTTAATGAGGGTGTTGTGCCCTCTTAAGGGATACGTTGTAAAATGTCATTCTTATTCTTACGTGCCGGTTGAATTGAATAAGGAACTTTGTGTTTACTGACTTTAGATAATAAATGAATTATTAGTAATAAGTGTTAGTAATAAGCACAAACAAAAGTAAAAAAAAGCGTGCGAAGACGTTAAACGGTGAAGAGCGCTTTTTGGTCTATGCTAGGAAGGTTTTCTGTCAAGAATTTGGCATTTTTTTTTCTCAGCGTTTATAACGCACGACACAATGGAATCAATGATTTTATCTAGGTTTTTGCATGCACCCTTTCTGATTATCTACAAATAAAAATGTTTCCATAATTCCCTCCGTCTCTCGTTTCTTTTTCTTTTTTTCACTTAAACTTCAAATTCGTGAAAATATACCTACAATAGTTTAGTTATTTGCAGAACTGTTTTGAAAGTGATACTTTTTTCATGAATTTGCTTCGCCCTCGTTAATGAAGTAAGTGAAAAAACGACACTTTCAAAACGTGTTGTTCACAACTTTTTTGCATAGATCCTTATAATAACCCATAATTGATTATCATTGACATTCGCGATTTACTGTCACATAAATTGATGCTATTTTTCATAGATAGGACTAAACGCCATGGAAATGCTAATGTGAAAAAAGTGATACTTTCCATACGATTTTTAGACAAAAAAAATAAGTTGATCACTATGCAAAAAAACCGGTATAAGTAATGACATTTTATTTAAACAGTACGTAGGTCTAAACATTACAATACTTTAAAAAAAATTGTTTCTTGGTGTAAGTATTTATAGTCAAAACGTAAAAATAGGGAATATGGACATACTGGCAGGAGAAAAATATTAATGCAAATGCAAGACGTACGTTTTGGACTGGAAATTGCACGGGAGGCTTAAATTGCGAATTTCCAGCCTTTTCTTAAAGTTGTAATATCTGTTGGGCTGTAAGAGACAGGAGTGCTTATTATTACGATATGCATCGATAACCAAATATATCTGGCGCAGACAATAAATAATGTTTTCTTGCTTCGAAATCAACAGATTACAGTCTGACGCAATAAATGTACGTGGGTAACGTCATAACGTGAAAACTTCTCTGCGTGAAAGGGCGGTCCAATCCACTCTCTAGCTATACAAAATACGCCAGATTCCACCATGTTGGATTGTAAAATTCTTCAATTTGAGTAGGTATATTATCCCTTAACGAAATCGTCTGAAGTTGACAAAAGTTTATTGGACTAAACAATCATGAAGGACGCCCAAAAGCAAGTGATGCAACAGACCTCTGCTTCCGCAAGTGCGGAAGCTCTGCATATGTTTTCACTTCCGCTTCCGACCCCGATTCCACTATTTTATAACAAAAGGACACCGAAATTTTTGAAATATGGCAAGGCTGCGCGCGTAACCCGAGCCGCAAGCGAAGTTTGTCAGCCGAGCCAGCAGTCAGAAGTATTACGACTTGTTTATTTTTGTTTACTTCCTTCATATCAATCGTGCTATTTATTTCCTGCATAGTTTAATCAACTAAATTTTTATGACTAATTATTCCAGTCGTTATCAAATTTAGAATAGTATTTCCGTTTCTGCTTCCGCTTCCGCGAAAAAAAATAGTTTGTCTTCTGTTCCGCTTCTGCATTTTCTGAGCATCCGTATGTAACGCATAAAGTATGCAAATCCTATTGAAGGACACTATCTAGAGTCTAGTCTAGACAAAATCAAACATATTAGTTAATTTAGCTTATCTTAGCCCTCGAAGAACGACGATAAAATGCTAAACCTGCCCTACCCATAGTAGCCCACTCTGCCTTGAGTGTATGCATTAACTGTTACATTGGGCGGTTTCTAATAAATAGTTATTTTTAGTACATGTAAGCAAAGGCACTATTTACTCTTCAGCTCTATTGAACACAACGTACAAACGCCGCTGCCCAAAAGTGCTAATAGTTATTTATAATACAAGATGTTAAAATATGTTTTTAACATTGAGTGAATTAACTTTCACGACATGGTAAGATTCCCTTGTACATATTTAAACGTCAAAAATAGCAAACTTCCATGAAAACAATATAGAATTCTGTTCTGCACTTCATTTTATTTCGTGCTCCGCGTCCCATGTTTATTAAAAATAACAAATGTCATTGGAATGTACAATGCTTTGTTGTACCTTATCTACCCTTATCGTTAAAGAGACACTTTAGCCTACTCATTCAAACCTATTAAAATACCAATTTAACATCTGCTGTAATAATCCAGGCGTCAGAGGATTTTAAGACAACAATTCCTATTGAACCTTTTTTCTTTCTATGCCTGCTTATAGGTCTAAAGAAACAGATAACGTATTGTTTAAACAAATAAAAAGTACGATTTTCACGTTTGTTTTAAATATCTTTCAAAATATCGATTTTAGGATAAAAACTATGAATACAAAAATAATTCGATATAAAAATGGTACTATGCTCAAAATTATAATGTAATCATTGTAATTTTAATGTTTCTCCATTAATAATATACAAAGAACCAATGCTATCGTGTAAAAATTGCTGAAAGTGATATTTAAGCCCGGCATATTTGTATATAACAACATCAATCTGTTTGACCGTCTGAACACCCATCACAGGTATCCTACAAGGCAAGGTAATTTGTTATCGATACCCAAACATAGATCTAGCAAATTCAAACATAGCCCACTTTACAATGGTATCAGAATCTTCAATGAATTGCCTCCCAACATCCACATGGCCAAGACGCCATCTTTATTTAAAAAAAGATTAAAACAATATCTAACGGGGAGAGCTTATTATAGCCTCAACGAAATGTACATGAGATCGGCATAGTCCATGCAACTATTATAGGTACCTTATTTGTTTGTGTTTATCTTATGTTGTCTATCTTGTTTGTAAACCTTTGACGTTGTCTATATCATTGTTTGTGATCTACTGACAGAAATACATTATTATTATTATTATTATTGTTGACATGAACATATGGTATGGATGGGAAGTAATTTGAAGTACAAAATCAGTTGGAATAATTTAACAATGGTGTATTTGAAATAATGTTTTTTAACTTTTACACGAATTCAGCAGTTATTGTCGGGTCTTTCTTCTTTTGCATACGGGTTGGTCTGGGATTTGTAGCTCCATTGGAACTGCTGGCGCTCCGGTTTTTTTCACTTTCTCCAGCGTCTTGGACGACCAATTAATCGATTAGTATTATTCGATTAATCAAATGACCGATTAATCGATTATTCAATTTTTATTGCCATCCCTATAACGAGTCTAAACTCGTTCTCCTTCGGGTCGTAGAGCCGCGCGAGAGAACTAAAGCGTGGTGCGTCAATACTAAACTACGGTACGCATCTTTGGACGGCTGTATCTTCAGAAATATTAGTTTTATAGAATATAATGTAAGGACCTTTTTCATGTAAAATTTTAGTAGATAATATTTTTGTATTCTACAATTTTTGACCTAAAATCAATATTTTTGAAGATATTTCATAAAAACACTAAAATCGTACTTTTTATTTGTTTAATTAATATCGGCAATAATATGTTACCCATCGAATTTAGGTGTGCATTTTTAATATTTATTTCTCTAGACATATACGAAATAAAAACAAAAAAAAAACCTTAATAGGAATTCTTGTGTCTATTCAAAGATTTTCAGTCTCTGACGTCTGGATTATAAAGTAATAGCACGTATATTATATTATAACGAGTTAAAGTGATACTGACTGCCGTTAGAAGTCGCTTTAGCTCCGCCTAATATACGCTATTTTTTCTTCAAACATCAGAACGACTAAATAATGGTTTTTAAATCGGGAGAAAAGTAACCCGATCATTATAGGTAGCAGTTAGCGCGTCGCATTCTTCACATTTTAGACGTCTATGCATTGGCATTGGCATAGCGTTAGACAAAGTACTTTTTCTTGAAACATCAATAAAACATGACATTTCTCAACTCATTTCATGACATAAAAGTTTGACATTTTAGACGTGTATGCGTTGGCATTGGCAGTGTATAAAAAGTACTCGTTGTTATGGGTAGCGTCGAACAAAATTTGTTGTGGAAATCGGTTACTATGCATACGCTTGCTATAGAAATTATTGTAAGAAAATCATTTAAACGTCATATTTGAACTACTAATGGCCATTTGCACCGACAAATTTCAGTTACGCTGAGCTTAGCTTAAGCGTAGCTTAAAATCCATGGCAACTATTGTCGCAATAATCGTTGTCATAGATTTTAAGCGAAGTTCAGCTTAAATTTGTCAATGCAAATGACCATAAAGTATGATTATGGAAAAATCAATTTTTGAGAGTGAGAGACAATTTCATGATCGATGCTACTTGATCCTCGAAAGATAAAAGGCAATTCATCCTCTAGCAAATTTGACTTGCAGTTATAGAATGTAGCTACATTCGGTTCATTGGAGTGGATTACGCCTTGTGATTGTTTTATGGGGCCAAGGCAAAGCAGATCATGGAATTGTTTTTGGCTTTGGCGTAAATTATCTACTTTAATATCCAAAATACTGAGGAAAGCAAATGATACATTCAAGGCAAAGTTGTGGCATTAGGTAGGGGCACAGGGAAGTTCTTATGATCGCCGTTGGCGGTTAATTTAGGGTAGTTTTTCGAATTTTAGTTGGGTGGTTTGCGTATTTTTATATAGCTGAATAGTTATTTTTGTAGCTTCACATATTTCCGAAATGTTGCAAACTTCAAACGAGTGGCTCCCCATGACCTTTAATCGCCTTTGCAGTGAATAAATTCTTGAGGAAATTTCAGACGAATCACTTTCGTAGCCTGACCCTTAGTACGAGAACGCCCGTTGACAACCAGATTTTAATACCAAAACATTCCAGAAAACTGTTTCCTCGTGTGCCATTTAGTCAAAAAATTATCCAGTCCAAGTTGTAAAACCCTGGCCCACTACGCCAATCTCCGTAGTAACGTCATGGTAATACTGTAATAGCATGTCCTTTAGGTGAATGGGTTAAGGAATTTTTCAGGATAGGTTTATGACAAAGGCCAAGGCACTGTGAAACTTATTCAGCAGGTGTATCAAAGGATGTAGTCAGGGGGGATTATGGAGATTCAATCTCCTTCAAAATTTTGAGCAATAGCTAAAAATAATTATGAAAATGTAGATGCTCTGAAAAAATTTATTTATTTTTCTCTCTTTCCGCCACCTAAACAATATCCTGGTTACGGTCTTATGTTTGTCCAATGTTCAATTGAACAGTGATTTTCTACTCTGTGAAAATTAGATTTAGTTCCGATTTACCGAGATTATTCACAATAGACATGCACTTTATTAACGCCTTGTTCCGTGCATTTCATAAAAAGTAAATGACAGAATTTAGTAGGTAAATCAGTCTATTAAGCAAATGTTTTTGAAATTTTCGCCTATACCTAAATCGGCAGCAGCATTTTGAAATAATAAACGCATGTAACAAGGTTAACATCAGGTGTGCCAATTCTAGGTTAAAATATGTCGAAATGTGACCACTGCACGTGGTTTGCGATCATTAACCAAATTGGTCAAAGAGCAGAATTTTGTCTTCGTGATAGGTAAGCGCACCTATGATTTTTGCAGCAAGATTCTTTAATTTTCCAATCGATCAAAATAGTGCCAGATTAATTTCTGATTATTATAGTGATCACAGACCTACATTACTAGCAAAGATCAACAACCTTTTCTGCCAAAACACTTTCTACTTTCAAGCAATGTTAATAATAGATGTCGGTATCTTCGAATGTCAGACCTTTTATGCAATACCCAGACTATGTTCATTGACCTATCTCACCATTAGAAAAAGGCGTACAAGGTTCCACTGGAGCATTATGCAAGAATATGGCACCTAGCCCGACAATTAATAGTAGCGAATCCAAATTGTGGTTTTTTGAGGCGGCGCAGAATCTCACTTTCTAATCGAACAAATTCGTTCTGTATCAAACGGTGGTTAAAGAACTAAAATTTACGGCCACTGTTACATAAAGACAAATTTAGAATAGAAAACTATGATATAACTTAAGGTAATTACATGGAAAGTGTTCATGCGCTCTTGGGAATAATTATAGATAACTACCACAACGTAATATTAAAAATAAGATGAAGAGCATATCTAGTTGTTAGTGAAACACTGCTTTCCAATCTTTTAAATGCGTAATCATCACCGCAAAACAATTAAATCATTTCCAATAACGAGGACGACGAAAGATCCTTTGTACGATACTGTAAACCGCAAACGTAAAACAAAGAGTTATCTAGGACGACTATTTTGATTGGATCTTCAACCTGCTAACGTCATACATGTTCCAATATGTACCGCTTAGTCATATTAAATATGCGCTCCGTCCCAAGATCAATGTTTCAAAAATCACTTAGGTATTTAAAATTCAAACAGAAACAATGCGCGAATCAGGTAAAACTGAATAAAAACATGCGTACTTAATCGTATTACATACTTTTTACTTGCGCTTAAATTTGTATTTAGAATCGGCGATTACTAAATATAGTACACGGCAAGGCATTTCCGTTAAGTTGAACAACGCGAGTGAAAGTAACTTTCTATTACATGTGATACACACTTTCTGCTAAACACATCATCGTGGCTCATTTGCATTTCCTATTTTTAGTTATACGTATTTAAATTTAAGATAATTCATGTAAATCGTTCATGTGATTATCATGATTTTATTTGTTGTAATAATAATTCCGTAAAAGAGCGCGACAAGTACAGGCGCCACCTATTATACAATCCAGCTAACTGTTGCAGTACAAATATTGCCACCAAAAGAATTTTCCAGTTGCGCTAAATAACAAATTTGAAGCTTTCTTACCTAAGGAAGACATGCTGTGAGATCCATTTGGCAGTAGATAATCAAATTGTTATAAAATTCACCTCTTTACAGTTTGTTTTAATTTTAATCGCACAAAACATTACGAAGTACAATTTATAATAATGTTTTAAATTTACATTGCACCCACATAAATGAGCGCATTAAACTATATAACGTCCACATTCAGAATTAACTCGTTTAAACTGTACACAAAGTGCGCTCAATTTGTTAGTCATATTCGGAGTTTCCCGAAAATCACTAATGTATAAGAATCACAATTTTCTTTTTATCGATAAGGAATAGGAAAAAATCGATAAACTAGGACTAAAAATTAGTGCGTCATGCGTAGTAAATTGAAAACCTTCTTCTTCCGCATTTTAATTTAAACGAAAAAAATTCGAATAATTTGTTGCCAAATTTGAGAAAAATGGGTAATGTAGTAAACAGTATGACCGACTACGCACACTAACGGTAAAAGTTGTACTACAGATACAGCTATACTGTACTGTTTTTCCCAGGTATAAAGTAGGGCACGGACTAGTCAAGCCGCCGTTTGCAATAGTTGCATACCAGCAATATGACGGTAGTGGGACAACGAGTGGGGCACCAGTTTGTTGGCAGCGGAGCCCGAACCTCAAGATCTTATAGGGAATACAATAGCATATCATATTATTGCAATCACCAAAACATAAAGTGAAAGTTTTTTAATACATTCCTTTCAAATTACACTTGATCGAGTACTATGATGAACTTGTACTAGACCATTGTTAAAGTTCAATTTTGTATGCGTAACTTTGAAAGTTCAACAAAATCTACAAATAGAGGATTATACTGTCCTCAATATGTCTGTTCTCTTATCATTAAAAAACTTGGAATTTCTCCGTTTGATTGAATCATCCACAGATGATCATTTCCGCCTAATAACTTTTAATTTCTTTCAGAAGCGTTTCACTCTATAAAGAGACTTGGATCATGACCTAATGATGCCTTTCACGAACACGGAAGACGCATTAAAACTCCATCTTGAAACATTGCACATCTGGAACCAGTCCAAATACAGATAGGAAATTTGTCTCAATTGGAATGCTGAAAAATGGCTGGTCCTTCTGATCATGACAAAAATCGTTATTTTAGAAAGTTATTTTCATCCTTATGTAAGACAAACGAATATGGTGCAAATCTATCCCACCACTATTTTAGGGATCATTCCTAAATCGGAAAATTTTGTGAATACTCCAATCGTATGGTTTCACTGGTAAGGAGTAAGAAGCCCTTTTCACTGGTGAGGGGTAAGAAGTCGTTTCAAATGAGCAAATAGTCAGTGGTTATGGTTACTTTTTCATACTTTTACTTATGTTTGGTATTTTCAACATTTTGGCCAAATGTTATTGAAATGCCAAATTTATAACTATTTAAATGAAAAATACTAAATTCAACCACCATCTGGATTTTAACCGATTTTCTGGGATGGGATTAATGGGGATTTTTACTGTTAAAATACACCTTTTCACAATAAAATGCAAAACGGATCATTTGTGTTGCAATTTTTCCCAGCTCAAGGAAATTTTTACACCATTTTGACTGCACTATTCCTCTGGTTTGTGTTTTTGTTTATTTTAATTGAGCTTGGGAAATGAAGAAGTCGAACAGCGACGGAGGTTTCTTTCAGTCGCTCGACAGGTGCTTCTAACTTTGTCACAAATAAGACAGACACTCGTATTTACATTACATTGCACACAGAAACAAATAAACAGGAGGACTAAGTACGTGTTTAAAGCACATACTTTAAATATCGTGTTAGTCCACACAACTTGCGTTTGTAGTAAATGTCTCTCGCCAAATTTACTGGAATGAAGAATTCCCATCGACGAATTGCTTGTTCGACAACTCCAACAGTCTATAGTACAAATAAATAAGTAAAGAAAAACCTTCGTCTGGTGAATCGAATCTCTTAATGGTTCCGCACTTCGCTTTCGAGATGTTAATTTTGACCCCCCATTGTTGACATGCTTAATATAAAAGATCAATGTACTTGTATTACAAAGAGCTGCTATCTGATAATGATCTTCAGACTGTCGTTTTCGACAGTATTACATGTCCGATGAAAGTGACCCAAAATTTGAGTATAACCTTACAATGAAAATGATAGAGCTAAAAATCGGCATCCCGATTAATATTCACCGAAAATCCCACTGATCCTTCATCCCTTTTTAGGGTGAAATCCCTGCCATCGTGGTTTTTTTTAACTTGAGTTGTATGTGAAAAACCAAGGATTATGTTCAGTGTTAAATTTTCTATGAAATGAACATATTCTACTTAGGATCTGGTCTGGGACCGAAAATTCGTATTTACGGGGACAGTTTGGTAAGGCAATGACTTTTTTTCCAGCGCAATTCAGCACTGCTCCCGTCAACTGTCGTACACTACTATATAATTTTGTGCAAACTACTCCATTTTAGTTTGTGTTTGACAGCTAGTGAAAGCAGTGGAAAAAAGTGAATTTTCGTCACGATCACCGGCAAATATTATTTTTTAGTTTAGTTTGTGTATAGATTCGATTTAGATTTCAAGCAAAAAAAAAGTGCTCTTCTATCATTAAGGGGTGCGCACATGTGTAGTCACCATGACAAAATTCCATAAATGAAACTACGAACTGCTCTCCCATCCTGCATATTCACCAGACACTCACCTCCTACATTATTTCCCATTTCCAAACCTGAAGAAATGGCTGGGAGGTAATAGATTTGGGTCGAATGAAGAACGAACTAATGAAACAAACGCGTATTTTGAGGGACTAATTAGTTGAAATGAATAAAAAACTGGAAAAATGGTTGAGTGAATGTATCAAGCTAAAAGGAGGTGAGAAATAAAGCGCTTATATGCCGAAAAAATTTCTTCTTTCATTCAAAAAGTCACTGACTTATCAAACTGCCCTTGTATTACACTACTAAGAGCTCTGACAATATCTTAATTTTTGGGAGTAGACTGGAGTTTTTTATTTTTGATGTACCCTTTACACAGCTCTATACACAGCAGCAGACAGGTGTCAAAAACGCGTGCATAAAGACGGCCTTGGCCACTAAATTTAGTTAAGAGAAGCTTGAGGAGAACATTGAGAACCATTTAACGACCGGATTTCAAACCTTAACCTGAAACTTAGGAGCAATTTGAGATAAACTTGGTAAGAACTTGAAATGAGGGCGAGAAGAATTTTTAAAAGTAAGTCAACTAATTGTAATAAAACCAAGTTGATTTACTCATGAAAAACCCAATAATTCGGAACCTGTCCTGTTCCATTTACGCTTATGGTCCCTTATATCAAATTTATTCCAAATTTTAAGTAGATTAAGCAAGTTTGTTGAAATAACAAGATATTATCCATGTTCTGGTAAACCTAGAGGCAAAATGAAAATAGTTTATCTGAAATCGATTGAATGAATTACCTGTACATTGTACATTCTGTTTCACGCAAACCGTTACCTAAAAGTATTCAGGCTCTCATCTTAATTTAAGTCTGAAAATTTGCACACCAACATAGGTTGTTATGATTCGTCGAAAGAAAATATGTATTATCATTTATCAAAATGTTTTACTGTTGTCTGGTTTTCTTTTGAGCCTTATATCTATGACTCCGTTGACTTGAATTTTAAAGAGTCCTCCAAGATCAACAATACACTGACCTGATCCTATATGAGAATGATGATTAAATTTTGGTGGCTCTTTTACAGGGTGTTTTAAAATGAATGCTCAATTTTAATAACCTTAAAAAGTAGATTTTTGTCAAATCAAGTGCAACATGCTTTATTTTTTACAAAAAGCACAATTCCACATTAACACTCTGCCCGAAAAAATAAGTTGCTCTAGCTAAATTCGGTTTCAACCATTTAACCAATAAAATCCGTCCACAAATAAGAAAGTTAGCCCAACCTATTCTTTGAAATGATTTAACTGATTTTATAAGAATCATATTAGCGTATAGAACTTAGAAGCACAAATCTGATACCAGATACAACTCAATACCGAACGATGATCGAGATATGAATCCATCTATCAATTTTACAACATACCTCCTTAAGGGGTTGATTCTGCCCCTCTCAGCTCAGCATAGCTTTTAAACCAAATTTTTAAATTTGGTATCAGTTTTATTCGAATGTACATGTGCGAATATACAAAATTTCATTTAATAAAAAAATTGGATTGCGCAAATGCAAAAGCTCAAAGCTGGGTTGCGCATGTTAATTCGTCCGCATAGTTGCTTGAGGTTTAAGCGGTCTAGGACATTAGGGCGGGCGGCCGCGCCGCCGAAAGGGCGCGGCCGTTAGGGCGCGAGACATAAGGGCGCGTGGACATAAAGGCGCGAGGACAAATGGGCACGAGACAAACGGGCGCGAGACAAATGGGCGCAGGACATAAGGGCGCGAGGACATATGGGCGCGGGATAGAATATTGTCTAACAATAGTATATTATATACCGCGGGACTGAAGTAGTACTTTTAATCCCGAAGGTAAAGTTTATGGCCCGACCGAAGGGAGGGCCATAATTTACCTGAGGGATTAAGACCACTACTTCAGTCGCAAGGTATATACGATATTTTTCGTACTTCCGAAACTGAAACACTTAATATGTATGGAGTTAGTAAACGCGTTCTTTCAAAAAATCGCTGCTTAACAAGTTACCATAGGAACGTTGCGTTGGAACGTCAATCCCTATGCTATGGTAACAAAAATAATTTGGAAACTGTCAGTGCTAGTGTCATAATTTTGGTGGTGGGTGACAAAGGTGTACCTATTTGATATTGATAAAAATCAGTCAAACTAGGTAAAGAATTGATACCTCCGACATCCAAAAAACTATATGAGCAGCAGTGCGATGCGTTTAAGAAGTAGTGCCGCATACAAAATGTGGAACAGCCTATTGAAATTGCCTTGTTTGGAAGTTCATCCTTCCGGGATTTTCGTCCAAATTTAATCCCGGCGGGACAAAAAGTGACACTTCAGTACTTGTCATAATGGAATGAAGTTGTCACTTTAGTCTCGAAAGTACGAAAAATATATTGTCGTTAGTTTGTGTTGATATTTTCTATCAACAGTCATTATACGAGATACCAAAAACATAATACGCAATGTCAAAAGTTGGGTCACACTTTTTATATCACGTTTACTTCTATTTCTATCTTGTTAGGGTCTACATAGTTGTTTAAACGGGAATGTTATGCTTTCTCGATTTTTATGTCCAACCAGAATAGAACCACCGAACCCATTGCGATGTAATTGTGCAGATGGATTCTTTATCAAATTTATAGATAGGAAATGCACGAATTTCAAAATAGGCATAGCCGACACCATACAATAGGCGACGCCAAAATTTGGGTTTGATAGACTCAAAATTCACAAAGCCTTTTTGACTGCTCGGCCATTTCTGAAAATATTTAAAAGAGAACGGTTGAACCGATTAAGCTGAAATCTATCTATTCGGTGGTG